CCCCCCAACCTCTCTCTCCCCCAAATCCACCAGTCACACTAACCACAGCCCCCAGATCATGGACTCCATGGACTGGTTCGACCCAGCCAGCACAGACGCCTCCATCCAAACCCAAAAGCTCAACCACGCCCTCAAAACAGGCGGCCGCATCTTACTCCGCTCAGCCAGCATCGAACCCTGGTATATCCAGCGGTTCGAGCAGAACGGGTTTGCGGCCCGCCGTGTGGGCGCTCGCTTCCCGGGGAGTTGTATTGATCGGTATGTTCTTTCTTTCCGCCCCTTTTTGTAGGTTATCTGGCTCTGTGAATGGTTTCTAACATGGCTGTTTACAGAGTTAATATGTATGCTTCGACGTGGATATGCACGAAGGTTAGAGATGTCAAGGAGACGCCAGAGAGGGCGATGTCTGTGGAGCATCTTGAGATTTGAGGTTCTTTAGGTTGGTTCTACGGGGTGGTTTGCGTTATAGGTCTTGTCTGTTTTGTGTGGTTATTCTTAGTTCGTGTGTTCTTTCGTTGGTTTTGATTCTTGGTTCTTGGCTCTTGGTTCTTGGTTGATGAAAAGATTTGATATCCCGATGAAGTTATGTTTTTGCTATTCTTGTTATCTACATGGTATTTTCCATTCATGGCGTATCTTGAGATCGGAATGAATGGTAGATGTCATGTACAGAATTCCAAACCCATGGTATAAAGCGTTCTATGAAAACTATCTCAGCCACGAGCTGAGATCCAGAAGACACAACCACGACATTGGATTTATAGCCACGTCAACACCGACAACTCTTCATTTTATAATACAGAGGTGTATGTCGCATCGTGCAGATCAATTTTGTCTATATCATAAGTATACTGAAACAAACATATATGTAATACAACAACCACATGACCCGCTCTCCTCAGAACCGCGAAGAACCAATCAACAATAAGATATAAGATATAAGATGAGATGAGCAAAACAGAAGAATAAAAGAAGGCAGGACTAAAAGTTCTGTACAGAGATAAATAAAGTAGTGTTCATGAGATAGATGGGTTGTTGAGTACACGATTCATCAGTAATTAGAAGCGTCTAGAGTTTGGTTAAGTTCCTTCCTCCACTCCACCGGTCAGTCAGTCCCCAGCCATTTGCGAACCGTCATTTGGGTGGGGCGGGTGAGCGGGTGGGCGAAAAAAGGTCGAAATGACAGCGTGGCGAGTCGTACAAGGTATAAGTTACCAGGTATAAGAATTCAAGAATAGGTCGGTTGGTTAGAAGGAAAGGACGGCTGGAACAGGGAAATGGATCCAGTCGACCATTATGCCTGACCGTACCGCGTCTTGCCGAACGAGAAGGGCACATAGCGGTACTTGATCATGTGCTGGATCTGGCGGCGCACTGTAAAAGGGATTATAGTTAGCAGCTGTCTCGAGTCATAGCCTAGATTGAAGGGCCCAGATTGGGTCGGGTTGAAGGGAAAGAACATACTGGTCAAGACGAAAAGGATGATCCAGTACATGACCAGAACAGGCCAGAAGACGGGGATATCGAAGAAAGCGAACCACGAGCACAGGAAAGCGATGGCGATGGCCCTGGTAGCCGAGTGCCAGAACTTGAACTCAGGCAGGCGGCGAATGAAGGGCCGGAACTCCTCATCCTGCTTCGTGGGAAGGCTGGCCGCGGCGTCGCCGTCTTCGAGGCCCTCGTCGTGCGTCAGGGACGGGTCGAACTTGGGCTGGAGGAAGAGGAGGAACAGGTTGAGGAGGTAGATGCCGAGCGTGTACGCCACTGTTTGTTTAGCCGTTAGCAACCCGTCTGGTTTCTGTTGACTGTCGGGTATTGTGGCGGGTAGGGTGTGTGTGAGTGCGTACCAATATACCATCCCTGGACCAGGACAATCCGCAAGAAGAAGATGAGAAGGAGAGCGACGGTGCCTACCCAACGGTAGGTGGTGAACGGGGTGGAAGCATCGAGGCAGGCTTGGTATTTCTGTGAACGAAGATCAATCAGTACGGTTTGTTCCACCCCCGACCGAGCCATAATATCCAGTCTCTTTGTCTGACAGCCTCGGACGCCATCCTCAGAAAGTGTAACCCACCCTGGTGATCTTCGATGTCTGCGCCGTCACCGCAGTGAACGGGGTCTGTTCGGGCTCAGGAACGTCCATTGTGAAGCGCGGGCGAATAAATGACCGATAACAAGAAAAGAACAAGTACACTCTGCTAACCAGCGCGCATGTACCGTATAGTAGACAGCGGAGGTTCTGAATCACAGAAGAAGGAGTAAGAGGAGGGGCGCGATAGATACTAGATAGATCGATACCTGGCGATGGAGTCCTTTCGCAGGAAAAGTGTCCACTGCAGCGGCCACGGTCGGCGTGATGACGCTAAACTCTTTTCAGCCCAAGGGGCAAGGCACCAATAAACTATGCATTGTTTGTATATCTTGTATGGTTTGCATGTCTTGTCTTGTTTGCATATATTATTACTAATTAATGACTCAGCTCCAGTCTAGATTCACGTGCATCCATTCTCCCGAACATGAATTGAAGCCATACTGTTGTCATGAAATTGAGATCATTGTGAAAGTCATGTAAATATCCTAATCATGTATAAGACATTCTATGATAGCAATCTGAAAGAAGCAAATGATCCAGGAGTGTCGCGACCAACCCACCATGAAGCAGCTCGGTTCCCGTCGGCGTGCGGGGAGCGTCATAGCTCGGTAGTTCCGCAACCCGCATCCGCATGCTACATATAGGGTGAAACCTTCCTTTCTTCTGCATCTCCTCGAGACCTTGTATTTTGACCGCATCTACTCCCATTAGCCTATCAATTGATTCTATATTCTCCCATCATGTTCGCCCGACAGTGCTCCCGTCTGGTGTCCTCCCGGACCGCCATCCCTTTGACCTCCTACCTCGCCCGCGCGAGACCCTACTCCTCCGCGGCTTCGAGCTACGAGCTCATCCTTACGTCGACTCCTAAGCCTGGTGTAGGACAGAGTATGCAGTGCCCTTATTGTGCTTAGTTTCATTTGAAGCACATTCTATGGGGTAGGAATTGAATACTTACATGTTCACGACAGTCACCCTAAACCGCCCCAAAGCCCTCAACGCCCTCTCCAGCCCCCTCTTCAAGGAAATCAACGACGCTCTCACCAAGTATGACGAAGATAAGGATATCGGCGCGATCGTTATCACAGGCAGCGAGAAGGCCTTCGCCGGTGCGCCCCCCTCCCCCTTCCCACATCCCACATCCCGCCCCTCAACATTACCTCGGCAATAGGACACCGGAAAGCTAACGCATCGGATACACAGCGGGAGCGGATATCAAAGAAATGGCGCCCCTAACCTTCTCCTCCGCCTACAGCTCGAACTTCATCGCCCCCTGGTCCCACCTCGCCAACAGCATCCGCAAGCCCGTCATCGCCGCCGTCTCCGGCTACGCCCTCGGCGGCGGCTGCGAGCTGGCCCTCATGTGCGACATCCTGTACTGCACGGAGAAGGCCACCTTCGGGCAGCCCGAGATCAAGCTGGGCGTGATCCCCGGCGCGGGCGGCTCGCAGCGGCTGACGGCCGCGGTGGGCAAGAGCAAGGCGATGGAGCTGATTCTCACGGGCAAGAACTTCAGCGGGAAGGAGGCTGGTGAGTGGGGCGTTGCGGCTAAGGTTGTTGATGGGGGGTTGGAGGAGTTGCTGCAGGAGGCTGTTAAGACGGCTGAGACTATCGCCAGCTATAGCCGTGTGGCGGTTGTTGCTGGCAAGGAGGCTGTGAATAAGAGTCAGGAGCTGTCGCTGAGGGAGGGCGTGGAGTTTGAGAGACGGATTTTCCATGGGTTGTTTGGGAGTAAGGATCAGAAGATTGGTACGTCTCCTTTCTTTTTTTTTTCAATACCCCCGCTTTCGCATTGCTTTTATTGTGGCCCATGGGCCAGTGCTGACTTTAGCTTCAGGTATGACCGCCTTCGCCGAGAAGAAGAAGCCCGAGTGGTCCCATGAGTAGATTCCGCTGGCGGATTGCCAGGAACCTGTTATCTAGCTGAATGAATACACACAGACTATGATATCTACTGCTTGCAGTGCTAACGTAGATAACGTAGAAACGCATGAATACACTCAAACAAACAACAGCGTGATCATAAAGCGTCAATCGTATTCGTTATTAGATATATACAAGAGTATTAAGTAATATTTCCCTTTCCCAGACAGTATTAATCAGGTAAACCCATCAAACAGCAGACCTCTTCTCCGAAGTCGTAACATCGACACCCTCCTTCTGCGCTAAATAATCCGGCAGCGTGGAATTCTCAATCGTCTCATCAAAGACATCCACAGAGGTGCTCGCGAACTTCCGCGCGCTGACATTCCGCTCGAAGAGCAGATCCAGCTCGGCAAAGGAGCGGCCCATCGGCTCAGGCACACGGAAGTAGGTGTACACGATGCAGCAGAAGCAGATGCCGCCCCAGAAGAAGCCGGCGTAGTTGCCCCAGTCCCACGCGTCCGGGTTGAGCATGTAGGGCGTGAGCACGCCGCAGATGATGGCCACGACGTTGTAGAGGTTGCGGCCGAGCACGACCGTCTTGATTTGCAGACGGCGGGTGGAGAACTCCGCGACGAGGGAGTATGCGACTGTGCCGACGGTAAGCTGGTAGAACATGGCCCAGATGAGCATCATGGAGCCGGTCGCGAGAGCGCTCTGGTCGCGGTGTTCGTCGGGGACGAGGCCGAGGAAGCCCATGACGATGAGCATGACGCAGAGGCCGCACAGGCCGTAGAGGTAGAGCGTGCGGCGGCCGAGCCCGATGGTCATGAGGAACCAGGCGCCGAAGACGCCCGCCATGTTGATGCCGTATTGGCCCATTGCGAAGGCGTAGGCCTTGGACGGATCGAGGCCGGCCTGCTTGAAGAAGTACGTCGAGTAGTTGGAGAAGGTGTTGCCGCTGAGGTTCTGGATCGCCCAAACCATGCAGACGATCTCGGTGCGGCGGCGGTCGGTGCCGCGGAAGCAGTCCATGTAGCTGGCGCCGTGGGTGATTTGCTTCTCGAGGGCCGTGGTGTGGACCATCATGGCGATGGTTTCGTCGGCGTCAAAGTCGGACTCGCGGTTTACGCTCGTCAGTCGGAGCAGGGCTTGCTTGGCTTTTTGCGCTTTGCCTTTGCGGACGAGCCACCAGGGGGACTCGGGGGCGAGGGCTATCCCGACGAGGAGCGGCGCCGGCCACATCCACTGCAGACCGTACGGGATGCGATACGCCCATTCGTCGGTGCGGGGGATCATGGCCTTGATCACTCCCACTCCGATCAGCTGTCCTAGACCCCAGCAGAAGTTGACATAGGTGGTCAGATACCCGCGTAGCGCAACGGGGCAGACCTCGGACGCGTAGGTGACGGTCAGCGTCTGGAAGACGCCCCAGGGGATACCCGCGAGGATCTCGGCGGCGAGCAGCGCTTGCACGTTGGGAGCGGTGAAGAAGATTGCGGTCCACGCGGTGATCAAAATGAGACAGGCGATCAGGGTGTAGCGGTATCCGAAGCGTTCCGACGCCCAACCGTTGATGAAGAGACCGATGATTTCTCCGACGTACGCACCGTTGCTGAGACCGGCTTGCCACTATGGTAGATGAGGAGTCAGCGAACAGTGTTCGTCCAAGCGCATCGCAATCCGGAATAGGGGTAGAGAGTGAAGGGAAAAAAAAAAAAAAAAAAAAGACGTACCCGTGCTGGCACTTCGTACTCTCCTTTCGACGTCAGTTCACCGTACTTGCGATTGAACTGGTCAAAGGCGTAAAAGTTGTTGACCAGACTAATGTCGTAGCCTTCCATGACAATACAGGTGGAAATGAGGACGCTCCAGGCGACGGCCTTGGGGTAGGTCTTGATCCCCTGTAACAGGGTCATGCTCCGTTCCTTTTCCGTGGCCGCCTTTGCATTTTCAATGACCTTGGCCACGGAGGAGGTCGAATCCCGACGATCTTTCGCAGAGGGCTGCGGCGAGTCGTACGCCGGCTGGACGACATCGTCCGCCTTGGTGGAAGCCATGGCGAGGGTAAATTGCGGTCCCCAAGCAGTGCGGAGGGAGAAAAGGAGACCGGGCTGGTGAGCGGGCGGGGTGGGCTCGAATTGAGTGTTCAACGGCCGTGTGGCTAGAAGATTGACCGAAAGGCTAGAGCCCAGAAAAAGAAAAGTAAAGAAGAGGTTGGCCCGGTCGAGTAATTCAATTCTTCGGAACCCGGCGTGGACAGAGTGGGACTGAGTTGCCAGACTTTCAAGATTTTTTATGGAGGCGGCGGGGCTTCTTTAATAGGGGAAGAGACCCTTCGTAGCGGAGTCTCAGAACCAGTCTCCACTTGCACCCAGGCACATCGTCCGCACGTTCCAGAGTCAATAACCGATGTATTGAAGAGTTCTCTGGATCCGACATTTGGACTGCATGGGCGCAGGAAGAGACGATGGGAGGAAAAGGAAAGGCTTGAACGCTAGTCCCCGACCCGTCTCCAATGCAACCCGAGCATCCGACACGAGGACTGGGGGTGTAGATGCGGGGAACGGGTTAGCCTATTGAAGACAGAAGCATTAGCCGTTAGTTTATTTTTGATTCTTGTCAAGTGACTTGGTTCGGGTGTCGAAGGTAGACGTCTGAATGTCTGGGTAACATGTCTGAATGTGTGAATGGGATGGTTAAGAGTATGACAGGATGACGGTGAAAGACAGTTGGAAGTAAGAAGTCATGCATGTCTCACCACTAAAACCCTTTCACTCCTTGCTTGCTTTTAGTTCAGTTGATTCCTGACTATCCCGACGGAGTTTTTCTCTCTCTTCTCTTCCATTCCTTTCATTTCCCTTCCTTTCTTGCTTTTCCCAAATAGGATGGTTGAGTGTAGTGGCAGCCTATCATTCCCAAATTCGCCTCAAACCTCGCTTAGAGCTCCTCGGGATGGAAATATACGACCGTGATATCTTCCACTGTCTTCTGCTGTCATATTAAACGTCTTCGATCTTATAGGTTGGGAGGGGATCTTCGGCAAAAGCCGAAACTCAGTCAGACCACATCTTGTGATTGTTGAAGTCGCACATTTGCCTCTTGACTATTTTACGAAGACACGTGCGACTCCTATTTCTTACAATATCTATAGAAATTCATCAACATATCTTTCGTCTTCTTCTTTTTCGTCTTCTTCTTTTTCGTCTTCTTCTTCTTTTGACTAGACATTCAAACGAGAGAGAAATCAGTAAACAAAAATCAAAATAGGGACGAAATGTAGTCCCCTATCTACCTATTACACCTTGATGTCCATCTCCATGCAGGATGTACTCCCTAGGATATGTCCCCTGCAGACATGCCCCAAGTCTAATACTGATCGACAACAGATGCAAGATTGTGTTCAAGATAAGATCGCATAACTGATAGACTTCAAAAAATCAAAAATGAACCCCCCTGTCAAATCCAACTAATCATACAGCATTAACATAACCACCCAGACAGGTCAACTAGTCTTTCTTCCCTTGAGCACCCAGGGTCTCCCCCGCCGATTTGCCCACGTTGCTGGACGTGTTGCCGATTCCCTCGGTAGCGCCGGAAACCGTCTTCCCCAGGTTTTCGGTCGCTCCACCGGCTGTCTTGCCTACTCCACCCACCACCGTGCCCAGTGTGCTTGTTGTGCCTTGGACAGTTTGGCCGAGCGTGTTTCCGAGGCCTCCCAGGAGACCGGCTAAGAGTTGATTGGGTTAGCGATGAACGATGACATCGTGTGGTTTGAGTGGGGTGTGTATGGGGGTAGGAGATAGTAGGGAAGTGGATATGCAAGGGATATGTGTATGACTCGTATGCTGATTACTGAATAAATGTGGACGGAAGATGACGAGAGAGTTTCTGGTGGTGGATGGGTGGATGGTGCATGCTGGATCGTATAGATACACTGGGTCAGTGGCTACTTACGGTTTTTATTATCGTTGCCGTTATTCGAGGACATTGTGGTAAATAAGAGTTTGAATTTTCGGTTCTCGCTGGTATTAAGAATGCAAGAATAGAATTGATGAAGATGGATCTTATTGAAGTGACTGTCTACAGCTTTGCTTCCAACTTTATATGGAACGATGGGTTATGATATCATCCTCCACTCTAACAGGGCAGCGTCACAAACAACCAATGGCATCCGACAAGAGACCAAACCATGGTTATTGATCAAATTGGGTGGCAATAACATGACTTACACTGCAGGACATACCTACCTATACCAGGTACCTAATAGGCTGATCCATTGGTTTGTTGATATTCTCACGCTGGTCAGCAAAGTGATCATCCCGTCTTACTCAGGTCGTCATTGGAAGAAACAGGAGATTGTATATTAAGACATTATCATAATGACGTCGCGGGTGTTACTACAGGAGAAGGACTGATGGTGATAACAGAGATGATAGGACGGCATTATTGTTAGAAAGAGGTCTTTTTACTTCGGCTTTTAATAGTTATAGTGTTGATTGTTCGAGGCGTTGTGGGTAACGCAGGGATGACGCATACTCTGGAGTGTAAATAATCACGGCGCGTACGACTACACTTGTTTACAACCCACAGACTGCCATGTTGGGTTCCTAACAATGACACCCTTGAGACAATTACCTATTCTAACAGTTGGCCTAAGACCGAGCAATATTTGCCCAAATGTACGTACTAAAGCTATTCTGTTTCGGAAAACAAAGGTGTCTTCCCCATGGACAGTGGTCACGTTGAAGCCATTCTCGACCCAGTCTTCTGTACAACCGACAGCGATAGACCCTCCAGAAAAGCCACGCGCACTTCCCATCACAGGCTTCAAAACGTTCGACATTGACCAGCCAGTCGAAGAGGAAGAATTGTCTGATTATAAAGCCGACCGATTCTATCCAGTCACGCTCGGGGAGGTTTTCCAGGATCGCTATCAAATCATCTCGAAGCTAGGTTTTGGGTCTTCGTCAACTAATTGGCTGGCTAGGGATCTGAAGTGAGGATGTATAAATCTGTTACATGATCCTTGGCTGATACGTGCAGATCTAATCTGTATGTCACGCTGAAAGTGTATGTTCATACCTCGTTAGTCCATCGTGAACTCGGCGTTTATGACCACATCACCCATCGTATGGCGGAAACCTCATACCGAGGACGAGGTAACATCCGGTGGCTGTTCGATTCTTTCGAAGTAAGTGGTCCCCAAGGACTGCATGTCGTCTCTGTCTTCGAAGCTGCGCAAATGAGCCTACGTGATATGCGATCGTTCTTCTTTCAACGAGATGGATTCTTTGAGGAATTTGTCCAGGGTGCAATTATTGAGCTTCTTAAAGCTGTAGATTTCCTTCATACCCATGGAGAAGTTGTACACACGGGTAACGCTTCTGATATCATCATCTTCCATAAATTTATGTCCTGTTAATATGTGCATTACAGATATCCATCCTGGTAACATGCTCCTTGGAGTTGACGATAACGAACTACTAAGGGCTTTTGAGGAAGGGGAGTTTTCGTCTCCAGTATCTCGCAAGCAAATTTCACAGACACGGTCTATATATCGCTCACGCATCATCCGACCCAAAGTAGGGCCGATGCTACTATCGGATTTTGGCGAGGCTAGGATAGGCCCAGGACCCCACGGGGGCGATATCATGCCGTTGCAATATCGGGCTCCTGAAACGCTTCATCGTCTGGGGTGGAGCTACCCTGTTGACATTTGGAGCGTCGGCCTTATAGTATGTTGTCGTCAAATTGTTGATGCTCATGGCCATATCCCTGTCCATCTCAAGCTAACAGTACTTGATACAGGCTTGGGACCTTCTCGAGTCCAGGAGACTCTTCACAGCACGGGATGAGGACGGAGATCTTTACGATGCTGCTCACTTGGCACAAATTATCGCAGCCTTAGGACCGCCGCCTCCTGAGTTTCTCGCCAAAAATCCAGAGAGAAGGGCCGACTTTTGGGACGAGCAAGGTACGCTACACTTGAATGAAGTCAAAACGATCGGCAAAATATGCCGTTTTTTCATGTCGATACTGACAATTGTTTTGACAGGAAACTGGCTGGGCCTTGCTCCCATACCCCACCATCGGACAATGGAAGCTCTTGAGACTCGGCTGGAGAATGAGACGGGCTTCCTACGGTTTATAAGAAGAGCTTTGACCTGGATGCCTGAGGAAAGGGCGACTGCCAAAGAGCTTCTACAAGACCCTTGGCTAGCAGGTAAAGTGGCATCCGACTAGCATCGATGTTACTTGCAAACACCCAACTGCAGAACGTAATAATTCATTGCAATAACCACCAGTGTAAGACTGGCATGAAACCCTTATTAATACTCTAGAAAACCAAATCAACCTGAATACCTCTCCTTAAACATATACTCCCTGACATGAACAAGTACCGAATCGGTCAGTAACCAAGCCGTATTACTGGAGAGTATATGAACCTGTTCGAGATCTAACTTTGACAAATGTGAGTGCGTCATGCAGTCAATCAACTCTGCTATAGCCAGACAGTCTCCTATATATTCTTTAGACCCTCTGACTATGACAGTTATTGCGGCAGGTCTGGGGGCTTGGCGGGGGCTACATCATACACGCACTGGGCAACAATAGAACACAAACCACCAAGTTGGGAGACCGAAGCTTCTATCCAGTTTACCATCCCTCAACTCTCACCTCCGTCTCATAGACCCCCTGTTGATGGTCAACCGAAGAAATGTCCGAAAACCAAAGAGACGAGGGAGCCGCTGGCTCTGCCCCCCCTCCTCCTCCTCCGCCCGAAGATCCAAGCTCTAAAGTCTCCCCGTTCATCATGAAACTGAGGTCTGCTTCGCCTGACTATTTCTTCCAGCCCGAAAGGCCACCGCCTTGGACAGATCCGTTTGCTGCGCCGACCGGCCCTTATTTCTTCTACGGCACCCTGTCCAATCCCTCTATGCTCCGTGATGTCCTTGGCTTAGAAACCGAGCCCCAACTTCGATCCGCCGCCATTACAGGCTACGAGTGCAAGCTATGGGGCCAGTATCCAGCGCTCCTCGATGCCCCTGAAAAAGTTGTTCGTGGCGCTGTCTATCATGTCCAGGCGGAGGAGCATGGGGAGAGGCTTGCCAGCTATGAGACGGACAACTATCGGGCCGATCCGTGCCGCATCAACTATACCGACGGGAATAAGCCTGTGGATGACTTTGGTTATGTGTTCAAATTTGTCGGCAATGTTAGAGACTTGAATGACGGCAACTTTGATCTGGGGACTTGGTTAAGGAGGTCGAAGAGGGTAGAAGAGGACGCATCAGGTGTTAAGTAGGTTGCAGGCAAGAAAGTCATGTACCTTGACTCCTACAACCATAAAGCATCACGTTATAATGAGGCAGCATATACAGTTGTTCCTGAAATCGAAGTATAAATACCAACCATGACCTTGAGTTATGTACTGAACCTAGGCGGCCTCAGGATAGACCGTTAGAATGCGTGATTACGTCAAGACCAAACGGCGGGCACACGTGACTCTCCCCAGTCGCGTTGACAGCGGGTCTCCATCCTACCGTCCTCGATACCACCCTGTCATAATTATGATATCTTATATTCGCCAACTCTCGTTATTAGCGTCACCTCGAACGATGCCCACTCTCATTCCCTAGCCCACCCCCCGGTCTCTCTTTTACTCTGCTATAGTCCAACGTGGCTCCTCCGGCGCAGTGGGGCTCTCCTGACCGTCACGCCGTGATCTGCACGCACCGATCAGCTGAACTTCCGTGGCGGGACACTAAGTCCGACTTAGGCGTTAAGTCCCATACAGACAGCAGACCCTCTCTCTCGCAGCGCCATGTCGTTGAATGGGTCTGGCATTGCGCCGCCACAGCCGCGTCTACACTCCACTCGCTCCTTTCCCAGGATGGATGATGGTTCAGACGTCAGCCCGCTCTCTCGGGTGAGGGCCAAGACGGTCCAGTCGATGGCGGTCCCTGAGCCTGTCGACGGGGATGCGCTTCCAATCCCCTTAACCGAGGACGATGCAGGGCAGGATGCTGGCCCCGACCTGTTTGAGAAATCGAGCTCCTTTGATTCTGGTACTGCAGATGACGGGCAACAAGGCGAGGAAGCTTCTGTGCTGTCGCGAAATGTTGAGGATGACCCGGAGGAATTACCCATTGAGTTGATTAGCTTAACAGACAGGTAGTGACCTTCTTTCCCTCCCTCTCTTCCTTGCTTTTTTTTATTCTTTCTTTCTTCCACTATTATCTCAGGTTACACAATCAATGGCTAATCCCTTTTGTCCACCAGATTTGTCAACTCGTTGACCGCGAAAGTACACGCTTCCCCTCCCAACATCGAACAAATCTCGAACCTCTTCCAGGAGTTCTACGAGCGAGCGGAATCGCACATCGCAACGCACATATCGGCTCTCGCGTCTCGTATACACCGTGACCCTTCTCCATACCCTCCCGACCAACGCTCCCGTGCTAGTACCCAGACCAAAGCGAACAAGGATGCGGGCAACACCCCCAGCCGGCAGATGCTGACCGCGTCGGAAGTGGCGGAGAGGAGAGCGGCGCGGAAGCTTCTTGCTCATAAACAGGTGGCTCTGGAGGAAGCTATCGAACGGAGAGCCTGTGAGAGCATTTACCACAAGCTTTGGAGGCATAAGAGCACCTTGGATGAGGCGCGCGATGAACAGCTACGCTCAAAGACGGCAGCCTTGCTTCTACTTGGAATCAATCTCAAGGATCTCGGAATCGATATCGACATCGCAGCCGTGGATGAAGTCAAACAGAAAGAGACAGACGAATGCCTGGCGGTGGCCCGGGATTTTCTTGCAAGAATGAACGACGACAAGTACCCCTTGGGAAAGCTACGTCACCTTGCATCGGCGCACAAGGCGATCGTTGATGCCTTGACCAAATTGCTCCCGTCTTCATCCTCGGCCGATGAGATCTTACCGACCTTAATCTACTCCCTCGTTACGTGTCCCACCGAGGGGATCAACGTTATTAGCAACCTGTTTTTCATACAGCGGTTCAGGTCGGCCAGTAAAGTCGACGGTGAAACAGCATACTGCCTAACCAACCTCGAAGCGGCGATTAGCTTCTTAGAAAATGTGGATCTGTCCGAGCTTCGCGCCGACGACATGCAGGACGGACAAGCCAAGTCGCCCAACGACTTATCAAAGCCCCTTGATCCAAAGATAGGGAACAAGGAAACGACAACGGTCACCGTCACGCAGGTCGCGTCGTCGCCTGAATTTTCGAAACCAGGCGGCACAGAGACAGCAGCAGAGACGCTCCCCAGGTCCCAGCTGTCTACATCAAGCCAACGACGTCTCAATAGCTTGTTCCAACCACCGTCAAAGGTGCTCGGTGCCGCCAACGATGCCGTCCGCAATACCGCCGACCAGAGCATAAAGAACATCGGCGCAACCCTCGATAGCAGCTTCAACTTCCTTTTCGGCCGCCTAAAAGAACTCCAATCCAGCGAACTTCCCGGCGGCGACGGAAAAAGCTCGGTAGTACCGAAGACGCTAGCCGACGCGCGACGCCTGATCACCTCCCCAGCTACCGACCAAGAGAATCAGCCCCCCAACGGACCCGCAGCGCCTCAGCTAAGACGGATCGGATCCAAAGCAGAAGACACCTTCCTGGGCCTAGTAGGCGGACAACGGACCCAGCGCGATCGAAGCGCAGACAGTACTCGAACCCAAGGCTCCAGGAAATCCAGCACGATGCCACTTCCAACGAAAGACGAGCCATCACCGAACCACTCATCGCAAGCATCCCCCACAGGCGCACCAATCGCACAAACCCCGCTAGACTCAGTCCGCAATTTCGGAAACACCCTCAACCCACTCAACCACATCCCAGGTATGATCCGCAGTTTCGGCCGCGCCACGCCTGAGCTTCCTGGAGGAGCATCAGCCGCCTCTTCCCCCTCGGAACGAGCCAAACCACCTCCCGCCTCGCGGGAAGTCTCCTCCTCCAGCCTCCCCGGCCCGCCCCGCAAACCAGATCCACCCATCCAGCGATTCGTCCAAATGCAGGATTTTAACGATCTCACGATCCGGGACGTGGCCGTCCTCTTGGAAGACTATAAGAGGATTGCGGCGGTGCTCCAAGAGCAGACTGCGGGACGGGGTTCTAAATAAAATGAGCGCTGCTGCTTGCGCTCTCATCCATAGTCTTTATCCTCAAGCGCACTTCCTCCCTTTCTGCTTATTTTTCCAAACAGGTGTTCTTGGGACTGCTATCTAGAGCAGTGGTGGCGTTGGTATTGGCATCTATGCATTATTGTTCTCCATATACCTCTTTGTTCATACCATTTGTCGATGTGATTCACCATGATATCTAAAGTTTGAAAGTTAGTTAATGAGGACTAATCTGGTATATACTAATACTACCTACTATCTATTCCTTACACTATAATATGTTGTTACCTAAAGAATGATCTCTATAATTATGTAGATTCAATACATAGAATAGAATAGAGATAAGACTACTTCTAACATAAGGGGTAAAACTAAGATAAATAAGTAAATAAAATAACATCGTAACACTCATTAAAACATCGTGAGTTTAAGCCTTGGTATCAGATCACTCCACGTCCACATCCACATCGGGATAAATATTCTGCATATGGATTAAAGATGCAATGCAATGCAATGCTGCTATCGATATCAACACCTGCGAATACGCCCCTAATCACCAGGATCAGGGAAATATACCTAGGCAGGTAGGCAGATACCCACCAGGTAGATAAACGAAATGAACGATCAACCACCAGCAAGCGATAGGAGCTGTTAATGCATCAAGGCGTCCGACCACGCAACACCTCCGCGCCCCCAGACCGCATCTCCTCAAACTTCCTCGACAGCTCCTCAGACTGCACCTCAACAGTCTCATGTCTCCTCTTGACCTCCGCCTCAAACACAGCAGCCGTCTTGCGACGCGCATGCCGCAAGTCCTTCATCTTCTTGAGCATGCTGCTGAACTGCTCGACGAGGACGTCGCCGCAGTCCTCCCATTCGTCCATGGTTAAGTTGGAGAAGTACGCGTCGCGGTCGGAGTTGGAGAGTCGGGAGAGGAAGGTCAGCTTGTCTTCCGGTGAGGTGTTGTTGGGGGCTTCGACTTCCTGGGTGGGGTGGAGTGCGCGCGCTGCGGCGGGGTTGTGGTCGAAGGGCTCGGATTGGAGTGAGTCGAAGGTTTTTTGGTGCAGTTCTTTGGGGGGGTAGTCTGCTTCGAAGAGGCGCTTTTTCTGGGCGCGGATTGATGATGATGATGGGTTTTTGCTGTTGGTGTGGTGTTCGTCGTTGTGGTTGGGCTCCACAATGCGCCGCACTGAGCTGCGTCTGGAGAATGGGTCGTACTCGTCGTAGCTGTAGTCGTTTTCGAGGCCGTCGAGGTTCGTCATGTCGAAGGCTGTGAGCGAGGGGTTGTTGCTGTTTCTGTTGAGGCCAAAGTCCATGGAGAAGGACCCCAGGTTGGCTTCGTCTCTGTCGGCGTCTGACGGGTCAGGTGCGGGCATGCTTGACTGTTGTCTGCTGGGCTGGGGCTGAGGCTGAGGCTGAGGCCGCGGACCGGAGCTACCGCGGGTGGGGGTGCGGTCACCGAGCTTGTCGAGGAGAGAGGGCTTGGGAGGGCTGAATCTCGTGCGTGGCGTTGTGCTCATCGTGTGCGGGAGAGCGGGCTTCCGGTTGGTGCTCACGGGGATGTGGCTGGTGATTCTGGGGTCCGACGACGTGGACCGGTCGAAGGCCGGGGTTTTGGACGGTTCCGGGTGCTGCTCCTCCTGGTGGTGGTCTGGTTGCGCCTGCGGTTTCCGACTGGCGTTCCAGAAGCTCTGGAGTCGTCTGCTCAGGGGTTCATCTGCGTGGCGGCGTCGGTGGAAATGGTCAGGGGATCCATTGGTGGCCTCTGATTGTTCGTCGTCGCCGGCCATCGACGTCAGTTGGCTGGCGTTGTCGTCGCCGCCGTCTTCTGAGGAGAAGCCAGCTGACTTCATGGCCTTGTCCCCGAGGTTGTCATACCACTGGGGATCAAATCCGTGGGCGCCTTGATGATACTGGTATATAGGCTGCGGGTCTATGCCCTGGCGTTGCGCCGTCGCAGCGGGCGACATTTGCGGCCGCAGCTCGTCGATCCCGAGAATGCTGGTGGCAGCGATGGTCGAGTCATCCACACCCTCAACATCAGTGTCAAACATGTCTCTTTGCTGGATGGTTTCAGCTTCTGAGTGAGGCGGACCGTCAAAGGACGCGGCCCCGTAATTGTCCCGCTGGAGGTGTCGATTGAGGGGCATCGGTGCCGGCGCAACCCTCGTCGTTGGTGGGATGTCGAATCTTGCCTGGTCCGCTAGTTGCTGTCTGGTTCGATGTGGCGGTAACTTGACAGATGGTCGAAGCTGAACCGCTTCTTTTGAGTGTACATAGTCCCCGACACCCATCTTTCTTGTCTGGAATGACGTGAAAGGTCGGTCAAGTGAAACGGGTGAAAAGAGTGTGATAAACCGTTCAACCGCTCGCTCAGCCAGTCTTCCCCGTGGATGTCTCGAATAGACGACCTTATCCAGCCGAACAATGGTCTCGGTAGAGTTGGGTAGTCACACGCGGGTGAATGTTCATCATGAGAGCTCGCGGTGGGAGAATTGGCCAATGGCGAGGCCAACGCGTGGATCGCTCCCCGACACACGATCCCGCCACGAGGTCACGTGCCTATATCATCGGAGTATGAACAGAAGCATCTATCTTCAGTTTCCAAACGCTTATGGATATGACTTTCCATGTACGAAGGTAGCTCGAGTATTAATGCTATTGTCTATGATGGTGCGATACGAGAAGTTCTCCCAAAGTAAAAGTCCAGCATACTAGGTAGTAGTCTCCAATTAAGAGATATTAAAGATGAATTATGTACTGTCATTATGGTCGTCCAAAACGCTGTCATCGTCGATATGAAAGTCCTTTAGAGTCGATGTCATACCCTTGCCACGTTTCTTCGCTTTCTCGAAGTATTCTCTGGATTTGCGCACTTCTGTCTGCCGTTTCTCTGACGCGAGCCTCCTTTCCCGTCTGTCCTGGACGGATTCCAGCGTCTCTTCCACAGGCATACGATCCTCATCACTACCATCCCCTTCATCAAGATCATGACCATGAACCCCTGCTCCTTGAGGTAGAGAATACACGTAAAGATCGCCGATCCAGAGTGAAATCATGCCACGAAGCTCCAACAACTCGGGCGAGTCCGAATACGGAAACGACATGAGAAGCTCATCCAATCTCGCCGCGATCTTCCCAGCTTCGTCCAATTCTCGGGCGCGCACCTCGGCCATGAGAGCTCTGGTCTTCTGTTTCGAGCCAGCCTGGCCGCCGATGTCCGATGCTGTGTCTTCTTCCTCCGAAAATCCACCAGCATCCTCGTGCTCAGTGCGGATTTCCTCGCGAGCGAATTTGCTCTCCTCTTGAGTAACATAAACCCAAAGGCCGAACATGGCCGGGTAGAATTGCATGGAGCTCACGGCATCCGGCGCAGACTTCCGGAATGGATGCTGGACTACCATCCTCTCGTAGTACTCTTTCGCTTCCTCGAACCCCTTTCGGGTGAAACAGAGTCCGGCCGGTCCACTGCCGCGGCCGGTATCATCATCTGGTGCTCTACCCGCCTCGTTCGAGATTTGACGGCCTCTTTGAAGCAAGATTTCGGCACCGATGCCCCATCGGCCTCCCGTGCGCACATCTACAGGGACACCACGGAACTCTTCGCGGATGATCAGACCCCACGCCCGGCCGGCGCGAACGTAGTCCCTTTCAAGGAGGCAGCGGTGCAGGATGTTAGAGAGAACCGAAATATGCTGAAGCCGCAGGTTCCCCCGGTGCGCTGCCGACTGCGGCGGGTAAAGCGGACTCGACAGTGACGATAATTCACGCAGGAGATCATTGTGTCTCGCTCCCTTGGCGCGACCCGCCTTGGCGGGACCATGGGGGAAATGGCCTCCCGGGATCTCCTGGTCAAATGAGAGGCCCGCGATGCGATACTGACGGGCCTCATCCGGAGATAGTGTCAGAGACGGCGCAGGAGGAGCTATCTCGGAAGCCGCATCTGTTGTTTCGCCATTGTCGTCGTCGTCCTCGTCGTCACTCCACCCGTCACGGTCCTTTTTACGTTTTCTGGACTCGTATTGAGCGGCGCGCACGCTGAGAGGTTGTTGCCATGATGGCAGGGGCAGGGAGAATGCGGATGCTGAGGGAGCAGATGCCATGGAGGCTTCAGCGATCCAAGAGGGATTGTGACTGCCTAAAAGATCTTGCTATAGTTTCCATGGATGTGCGAGTGGGATGCGCTTTTCTCAGTTCTTCTTGTCTCTATATTTTGCGTCCTTTGGTTTTTGACTTTTTTTGCTTGTCTTTTCACTTGATCCTGAGGTCGCTTTAAACACAACTCTTGACAAAGCCAATCAATGGAAATACAGATATTAATAATCTTCAGACACAAGAAAGACAGCCGGTAGTTCCACAGCGAAGAACCGAAGCACCCGAAAGAGAGAGGGAGAGAAAACGAAAACAGGTGATACTGCCGATCCTCAGGCCGCCGTCGGATCCACGGTGCCGTTTCCGAAAGGCGAATAAAGACCGATGATCTTTCTTTACTTCTACTTCAAGAGGTGTTCAAAGCCATTCAAATCCAGTTACAGAATGGATTAAATAATGCAATACATGGAAGGCGCATGTAATATGATTACCTTCGAAATGCGACCAGTGATGATAGAACCACCGGGATAAGTACTTGTCAATAACAATACTTCGTAGTCAACAGGGTCAGATGGCTGAAACAACCCCTCATGGTAGTCACCCCCATGGCGCCCAACGGAGATTACGGAACTCTCGAGAAACTTAGAGAGACAAGGACGGCAGCCAATATCTCAAGTGGAAAAGAATAGTAAAATATCACCCATTAAGTACAAGAGAGAAGGCTCCCTTGAATCCACCGCTAGTCCTGATTGAGATAGTCAGCCCAGTGTAGTGAACCCACCCGTGTAAGCAAGCCGCCCCGTTATCATTCTCCATTTCCACTAATGATCCCTCCGTCATCGTCCTCTTCATCAACCATCGGCTCCCGCACTGTCGAGTCTGGTCATCTTGAGCCTCACCCCAGGACATATCCTTGACGCGCGATCTTTCTGAACTTCCATGAACGACTTCAATCGACCTGTTGACTCTCCATCGTAAACGACCCTATCGGTGACAGGGTTGGCTGTCGTGGGGTCTATCCCCAGACGTCGTACGGGGCCAAGAACCTCTCAACGTCTGCCTGTCTTGCTACAACCACTCATTCGTCAATCCAGCACTTGATCCTACGTCTGTCAACTTTTGGATTCACATATTCTTGGATTCCACGCCGATCGGAGAAGAGCAAACCACGTCATTGTCGCTGTCAGTCGTGGCCCTTGGACGCCAAGCTCACGAGACAAGGTCTCCAAGGCACGCGATTTCTCCAACATCTTCGGCCATAAATGCTACTACGTCTTGTCAAAAACACACGGATCACCGCTGGGGACCGGTCAATTCTAGCTTTGTTGATTTAAATCTGTATGCTGGTACGTATGGCTTGATGTCGGGCGGTTTTCAGACGTCGCACCTGGGATGACTCGTGCTGTCTCAACCACTCGACCCCTTTTCATCATCTCCTTTCCTCACAAACTGTTCCCTTTCTACGCATCTCCCGCGGTGTTGAGCCTTTCCATTTGATTCAAAGATATTCTATCTGACTAATTCCTTGTTCCTTTAGTCATCATCTCGTCGATGGATCTAGTCAGCTTATAAAACGCCCATCGCCACCTTCCAGATTAGCACCGTTGCTACTATGGGCCAGGCTCCTTCCACACACAGAGACCAACGTCAAAGGATCCATTCGCAACACTTCTCCCCCCTCCAAGCACGTCGTGGTCGAGTCGATAGGCATGAAGATATGAACGACGGGCGGAACTTCGAGCTGAACTTCGGGCAGACGGGACAGTCCCAGTCCCCGTCGGGACCGTCCGGGACGGAGGGGAATCAACATGGGGCACAAGGGTTCCTACCGGGTCAGCCATTTTCAGCGCCGGGGAGTTGGCAACCCGGCGCATCTCCTTATGGCGAGCGATCGGCGACGACGGGACCCATGGGGAGTATTGATGAGGAAAGCAGTTCGCAATACGAACACAACCAGCGCGAGTACCGCTCTGCAACTTTTGCTCGCATGGCCGCTCGAAGGCAGTCCACAATGTCCCGGTTAGGGTCGAGAATTTTACCTAATTCTGTTATCCGCGGGCTTCTGAGCAGCGAGGAGGAAACACCTGCGGAGGGTCATGCTCATCGACACGGGGTGGTATCGAGGTCAATCCCGAGATCTGAAGTCACGCAAAGCAGCGGTCGCTTCAGTCCATTCAGCTCTCTTAGTTCCAGGGGCATTTCGAGACGACGCTCGCTCCGCGGCCCTTATTTCATCCCCCGCAATGAACCGTCACTGATGCCGAGCGTCACCGCCCCGTTCGATCCTACCACAGAAAATGTCCCTGATCCGTCTCGGGGGTCGTGGCGGCGAAGTGCCCGGTTGCACCGTGTCCGAAACTCACTATCAAACCCGATCTCTCAGATGTTCGGTCAGCCGAGCCACCACAACAATCGCAACGCACAACCGCCGACGCTGCCCCTGGGCTTGGGGTCCGATGAAGGAGCCACCGGTTATATTCCTCATCTGAGACCCATAGATACCCGAATGGATTTCGATGAGCCCCCGGAACTTGACTCGGTAAACCCCGCTGCGGCGAATACACGTCCCACCTCGCCTATGTCGACCCAGTCGGGCCACGGACGGTCTAGTCTCCGGCAGCTACCCGGTCTCTTGAGAGGGAGGCCATCTCGAGCTTTGCGACGGGAGGATCAGACCCCTCTGTCCCGTGTGCTGCAGCTAGCCGCTGCGGCCATCGCCGCTCAGCTTTCTGGCACCGCCGGTCCTGTCATGCCAAACATCCAGGCCTTGGGCAATGATGGCCTGGATGGTTCGTTGGAGAATTTCATTCAAAGTTTGCAGCACGCCACATCAGCACAAGCGACTCCAAGCGAGACACCAAATACTACGGGAGATACCGCGCCACCGACTCCGGTTAACTTTCTACGGGTTTTCCGGTTTGCCAACTCGGAGGGTATCAGTCCTTCGGGGCCACCAAATCGACCGGCGGAACCTGATGGTGTCAGTCTCAGAGACGGTATGGATATCGATAACGGCGGCGGCGGCAGCAGTAGCAGCAGCAGCAACAACATCAACAATAATAATAATAACACCAACACCAACACCGACGGCAATCATGACAATAATGGCGACAATCATGACAATAATGCTGACGGGCCAGTTGAAGGACGGACTGTTACCTTGGTCGTGGTTGGCGTGAGATCGGTCCCATCAGCCAGTGGACCCGGCGGTGATCAGCAACCCGGCTCTGGTGGCCTGGATGCTTTGCTTCGTCTGCCCTTCTTGACACCAGGAAACCTGTCTCGCAACCAAGATGGTGGGATTGGCTTACCACCCCGGCCCGAAGGTCGGCCTAGATTCGCCCCCAGTCGTCCTCAGCCTGGAGCTTCTGGCACCCTTTCTCCTAGTGATGACCTCCCACAACCAAGCCCCGGAAGCTCATCGCGCAGGCCATCAGATACCGGGAGTCGTGGCCCACTATCATCAGCGCCTTCCATCCTCTCAGAAAGTCCTCCAGGCCCTCACCCCCCTCCGTCCACGCCAGCAGAGCCCGGGATTTCAGCTGTCTCGTCGGGTGCTTCCACCCCCAGTCGGCGGCCATCATCTGCCTCCGTCATGTCTCCGGGTGTTTTGCCACAGCTCAGCGAAAACCGGCCCTCTTTTGAATCCCCCGATGATATCATCCCGCCCAGTACGTCTCGACAGCGACGTCGCAGTGATTCTGAATACGCCCGTCATCGGGACCTAGGGTCCGGGTCTGTCAGGCGGAACGGCGTCGTGGAACCCGACAATGCCACACCCCCAGCCGGTCGAAGCTGGCTGATCTACGTTGTGGGGACGAATCTTTCAGAGAATCACCCTGCATTTGCAACGCCAAGCCTCTTCACAGATGTAAGTTCATGCCCTGTACTTTGTCGATGGATTCGAGCTAATCCAACGACCAGAATCCGACATATGAAGACATGATATTACTGTCCTCACTTCTAGGACCAGCCAAGCCTCCTGTCGCATCACAGGAAGATCTCACTTCGGCGGGTGGACTATTCCACCTTGTGAGACAGGCTGACTCGCTGGTCGCAGCGGCATTAGACGGCACCATTACCGTCCCGATTCCTGATGGAGACCGCTGTTTGATCTGCCTTAGCGACTACGAGGTGACCGAACAAGTTCGACAATTGACCAAATGCCAACACGTCTTTCACCGTGATTGCATAGACCAGGTTCGTTCCCCCCCCTATAATTGGCAGCTTCCCAGTCGTCTGTACTAACTTTGCCAGTGGTTGACAACCGGTCGCAACTCTTGCCCGCTCTGTCGAGGCCAGGGCGTAGCCGAAACATCAAATCCACCCTCGGCACCCGAAATGCCAGACCCGGCCGCAGCATAATATGCCGCGCCACTATCGCTGCGACGATGTCGTCGCCATTTTGTTTCATTGACTTCCATATTACCCAGTATTAGCATCAGCGTCGATTTACGATTGGTTACTCTCTTCTCATGCCTTTATGGATATCCACTGCAGCATTTGTCCCGTTTAATGTGGTGCATATTCTGATGCTCTTCGAGTAGAATGCTCGTTACGGCTGTGCCGTGACTGTGTCAAGGGCTTGCATTCTTCCCGTCTTGATTTAATGATATATCTATCTGATTCTATCCTAGCCTGTATTCTTTCGTAGTGCATGCGTCTCATGAGTAGGACATGATACTGAGAACAACAGTAATGTATGATAGAGCGAAATCGGAGTGCCCCACTTCCGCTCTTCAACAGCGCTGACTCAGCGCACGGTTCGTGCCCCGCTCTTCATTCGGTGATTGAAGCTTCAGATTCGTCCCAGGAACGTTTACCATTTTTAGAGACTGTTTTATATTCTCGGCTGAAGTCTCATTCTCCGGTGATATTGGACGTGGAACACGAGCTTGATTGAATTGAACGAATCCCGCGACATCATATTTCAACCCGCACCCAATACCAACACACCCCACGTCTCACTTTTTCCTCCGCTCCGCAACAACCTCCGCAACAACCCTCCACAACCCCCCTCTACAACGACTCAAAACCCCCCCCTCCTCCAAAGGGAAACACCAAACAAGATGGCCCCAACCCGCCTAACAATCCTCATCTCCGGCAGCGGCACCAACCTCCAAGCCGTAATTGACAAAACCGCCGACGGCACCCTCCCCACAACCATCGTGCGCGTGATCTCCAACCGCAAAAACGCATTCGGCCTTGAGCGCGCGCGCCGCGCCGGCATCCCCACCCAGTACCACAATCTCGTGGCTTACAAGAAGCGACACCCGGACACGCCGGAGGGCGTGCAGGCTGCGCGCGAGGAGTACGATGCGGAGCTGGCGCGGCTGGTGGTGGCCGATGGGCCGGACTTGGTGGTGTGTTTGGGGTTTATGCATGTGCTTTCGGGGAGGTTTTTGGAGAATTTGAATGGGGTGGAGATTATTAATTTGCATCCTGCGTTGCCGGGGGCGTTTAATGGGGCTGTATGTTTCTTCCCCCCCCCCCTCTCTTTGGCGTTTTGCTCCGTTTGTACACTATGTGTGTATACTGCTTGTGATGGAAAGGGAATGGCTAACTGTTACAGAACGCGATTGAACGCGCGCACGCAGCCTGGCTCGAAGGCAAGATCGACAAAACGGGCGTGATGATCCATAAGGTGATTTCCGAGGTGGACATGGGGACGCCGATTCTGGTGCGGGAGATTCCGTTCGTGAAGGGCGTTGACGAGGACTTGCATAAATTTGAGCAGAAGGTGCATGAGATTGAGTGGGGGGTTGTTATTGAGGGGATTCAGATTAGTATTAGGGGTTTGGGGAGTCAATGATTTCGATGATTGGCGGTTGATGATAGGTAATAGGGAGCGGTGTGAGAGGGAGGTGGGGGAGGGGGGGTGTATGCTATAGAAATGACTACGACTACTGCAGCAAGGCGAGCTATACCCAGGTCATGGTTGACTATGATTTACGAATTGCATAGAAAAGAAATAACATATCAAGATGAAGGAAGTCTGGGCATGTTAGGTACTTACCTACTACTTGTGTTTTGTATGAGGTTCTTACTACGTAGTTCCGAGGAGAAGGTAGAGTAGATCCCTAACTAGGCAGACCAGCTTCGCGGGATTTGAACCTGCATCAATATCAGCAGTCCTGCAAGGGGTAGTCTTCATGTGGTGGATTGGATTGACACATCAGATGTCTGTGTCTGTGTCTTATCTGCAACGATCTCGCCATCGTGATACTCCGTCTTTTGCCTGGCCGTTTTATGTGGGGCAGGCAGGCTTTCTTGTCGTACAAAGGACTCCGTGATCTAGGTATAGATGTACGGTATACGTTGGTTCAAACAGGTCACAAGATGATGCTGTGTGACCGGCTACTGCGGGTTAGGAGGTTGTGCTGCCGTACAACTAGGGATATTTATACAACCTTATCTATACTTGTTTCTGTGTATCTATCCTGGGTGTCACCATCTTGGCATTGATAACGATAATGATAACATTATTCATCAGAAGAAAGGAGCAAAAAGTAGGCAATTTGGGATAAAGTATACAGGGGTGATGATCACCATTGGCGTCGATCTGTAAGATCGGTGGCATTTCATGGTAGGTCCCTAACCTAGGTACCTAGGACGACCAATGTCAGAAGACAATGAAACTCAACATGGAATAAGGTACGTCCCGGGTAGACAGCGGCAGTGGCGTAGTATACCAGACCGAGAAACTCCAAAATCACTACCTAGGCATCCCTTCCCAGAACTATTTACTCGGTACGTAGATAGTAGAAGTAGATAGTAAATACTATAAAGACTCAAGAAACCATATCATGTGACGGGTTACTATAAATTGCGGGAACGATTTACCCACTAGTAAATAGTAGCAGGCCGACCAAATTACCCAAATAGGTGAATGCACAGTCACGCCTGATCTACATCTGGCTTTCTCCCTTTTCTACGGGGTAACCTTGAGCGGGATTATCTTCTCTTGGCCGTTGAAGGCGTCAGCAGATGCGCCACGGGATCTAGAGTTACTATTGGACTAGTAGTCGTAGTAGTATTCTGTAGTAGCGATTGGTGGTTGTCTTCAGGAGTAGGAATTAATAGTGTCGAGACAATTATAGATATACGTGTACAAACTATCCACCATGAGGTAGTATTAAATAGTAGATACTAATAGTCAGAAAGAGCCTCCTCTCCCCCGTCTAGGTCCTAATAGAACCCGCAATCCTAGCCTTTTTGTGAATTTGGTGGAGGGATCCCAGTCAGCGCTACATTCTCAAACCGGGGGCTAAGCCACATTCATCTTTGATTGATCCTTGAATTTTGAATTTGTTGGGGGGTGTCGTATAAATGGCTAAGGGGACGGAAGTAACGTAGCTATTGTTTAGCCTCCTCCCATTTTTGCCTGACATGTACCTACTGCATGACTAGTACTACCTACAGTAGTCTAACCCCTTCAATTTCATCCGAGGTAGCCTGTGACAGACTACTAGACAACAAACAAACAGATGAACGTTTGGGGTTGAGGATCTGGATCCTACTACGTGGTAACTTGTAGGGAACGAACTACAGCACGGGATGTTGTAACACTTACACGGCTCCCAGTGTAGACAGTGGACAGTGGACACTACATAGTACGGAGTACGTACAGTGAACCATAGGCTATACCCCCTCCACAAAAGAATGGAGAAGGTGATGGTCACGGAATGAAAACCTTCCGGCCGAAGTGGAGATCTTTTTCCCATCCAGGGAACTGCCAAGGATCGACCCCCCACAGTACTAGCTTAGGGGGCACTCTAACTGGTTGACGGTTATGGTGTCTTCATCCACGGCCTAAGACTACTAGAGTGTTATTGTACCCAAGGTACGGACTCGGAGTAGTGTCGATTGACTGATGATTGCCGCGCTCACACAATAAGCCTGAGCCAATCCTGGGGGCTTGGTGGCCAACACTAACGGTCAATCAAGATACAGATAGAGCGATGGTTTATTGACTAGGGATAGTTGACTGTTGCTGTTGTCTTTTCATTGGTGATCCCCTCTGGTGATCCCCACTTTCTCCAGTCGCAGATTTAGGGAATCTCCTCAGATGCATCCATCCATCCCCTTTTCCTGGTATTCTGATACTGAGTATTATACAAAGTGTCGAGATGGGAGTATGAATCAGCGCGGACTCTGAGCCTGACACTACGAAGATAATGTCAAAACACCCAATGAAGATGACGATCCTCTGTAAAAGGTGAGGGCTGATCGACCATAATACGAAATCGATACGGTACGGACCCGTCATCTTCCACATTCAGCCCTAATTTCCCAAATTAAGTTCAGCCTAGGGTACCCTAGTATCAGTGGCCATTCACCAGCCTCATCAACAACTGTCAAAAATAAAAATAAAAATAAGATAATGAAAAACGAAAATGAAAAAAATCATCTGTCGATCAGGAACATCCGACACTGCCGGTTTCCTTTCCACTCTGTCCGTCGTGGAAAGGAACATTCTCGGCTTGAGGTTTCTTCTGATAACCATCCGTACTGGCTAAGACAATAATTAGGTAGGAGCTATGAGGTATGTACTGGATTAGGCACTGACCTAACCAGACTGCCCAGATCCACACCAAACGAACGTCTCGGCAATTTTTGCCTAGAAGAGTCATGGCTTGGTTTCAGATCTGCCGGTGTTTAAATGCAATCAACAATCGATACCTAACTATTATGGAGCAGGATCTTGACTATATTATGGCTTTACACGAAGGAAGTCAAGGAACAGGGCTATATGGTCAATATCATAGTTATATACTAGTTGAACCCTCAAGGTGTAGGAATCAATAATGCACTTTCATGGCCTGATGTTGTCCAGCTGTCTGTGGGATTTGCACAGGGATGGGACTTTTTCTTTACTCTCCCCTCTTTTGTTCTCCCGCCGGGCGATCCCTCGGGATTGAGTCATTGATATTGGTTCCGTGTGGAGCAGTAACTAGCTAGCACCTGAGGAGTGAGTAGTAGAATTTTGCCGGTTTGTAGATTTTGTTCTTTGGCATTTATGCGGTTGCATGGTAGGAAGAAATATACAATTATGAAAATATGAGAATCAACAAAAGAAAAAAAAGTAAGCATCAAGTAAAAGAAAAAAGAAAGAAAGAAAAAGATGATCTCTGAAGGGTGCCCTTCAGGAGCTCCTGGCAGGGTCAGGTTGATGCGTGTCGGGATCCACCCAGTCTTGGCTCTGGAGACTAGCATCGCCGGTGGGATTTGACTGGTCGAGCACGATGGATGGTCCAACCACGGGCGTTGGTTGCCTGTCCACTTGGATTTGGTGGCTTGGGGGATCCTGAGTGCAGGGGATTCATGGAGGGGATGGGATGTTCCACCTTGGGTTCTCTGAGTCTTGATTGTGTGGAGTGAGAGATCGGACCGGCAAGAATAGAGAAATAGGAAGGAAGGAAGGAAAGAAAGAAAGAAAAGGAGGATGAAAAGTTAAGAATGAAATAAAGACAGAAGTTTCACAGCAAGATCGTGTCCTGCAGACACGGATGAAGCCGTGGCGGTTGGAAGGAGGAGATTAACACAGCCGCTTCTTGGCCTTCCCTAATATTCTTTATATTTACTTATCATGATATTTGTAATTGTATTGATCATGTTATTCTACTCCATTCCCTCGTAACCATTGATGAAGATGATCATTATCAAATATGATTCTTGATTCTTGCATCGGGATCAGTATCCACACCCGCACATACCAACCCGCGGGGCCACTAGTGAGATTAGTGTTGGGGCTTGCGATGGATTGCTCTGTCTCATTGTCTATGCTGTCCTTTGATGAAGGGTCTCTCTTTGATAATAGATGGAGTTATTCCTCCAGCTGCTCCTGTATCATACTCCTAGTCTAGTCAACAACAGATAGGAATAGCGAATCTATCTGGATCAGGAGAGAAGAGAAAGGGGTCCAGAGATCTCCCATCAGATCAGGTCATCATCTCCGTGATGATCTCCGGGATTTTAAATATAGTTATTTAACCAGGGAGATCAGTGGAACATGGTCCTCAAAGACTAAGGACTAGAGGACTAAAAGGGGGAGAACTACCAGAGGCAGTAATGCGGAGTAAGCCGTCCAATGTGATTCATTCGACCATGGTTGAGGATGAAGTCATGTAGTGGGGAGACAAGAGGGAGAAAGTGATGTCGTAGATGGATGATAGCTCCAAATCTTTCCAAACAACTCTAATTTCCTCTTCTCTTCTTTCTCCCCTCACTCTCTCCTCGGTCCTCCCCATCCTCCTGACTCTGATCGATCGTCTCCACGTCAATCCGATTGCTCTTCTTGATGCTGACTCTCTAACCTTGGATCCCCTATGCTCTCTTAGGCTAGACTCTCTCTCTCTCTCTCTCCTTCTCTCCTTCTCTCATCCAATTCTCTTGACTCTCTTCTCTTTTAACTTTTTCTCTCTGTTTCTTTTCTTTTTTTTTTTTTTTGGCTTGACTATCTTATTTGTTCCCCTGCTCTTTTCTTTTTTTTCCTTTTTCCTTTTTAATTTTTCTATCTTTTCTATCCTTTCTTTTTTTCTGTTCTGATTTGATCCTATTTCTTACTTGTCCCATGCTGATGGACTCATCTCCCTTCCACTTCCATCCTCTTCTCTCTCAACACTAGTATTGGACTGATCTTCCTGATCTCCCCCTTCCTCCCTCTTCCTACTACCCTACCCCCTCTCCCCACCCTTTACTCTTTTCTCTCTTCTCTCCTCCTCTTTCCCTCCCCTCTTCCTCCCCTCCGACCCCCCCCCCCCCCCCCCCCTCCCCCTACCCATCACTATACCCTCCATCCACATCGTGGGTGCTCACCTTCGTCACTCCTCATCATCGACACCCCCATAACTAAATGATGCCCCTAGCGAGGGTCCTCCTCGTGTGGTTTCCCCAAGCCTTCAATTGATCGCGTCTACTGCATGCCGATCCTCTCCCTCTCTTGCGCTCGTTACATGCAATTCGCCTGGTGCCCACTATGGCGAACCCCTACCACCCGCCCCAAGCCTCCATGACCAGCTTCCTACAAAACTCCTTGCAGCATCCCCAGGATCCCGTCCCGCTATCCGCCTTCTCCATCCTTGACCCCGGTCAGTTCCCCGAGAGCGTCGCCTTCTGGCATGACCCCACCCAACCACCCCACGGCCTTCCCGCCACCTCCCCCTCCTATCCGCCCACCTCGAAGCCGCTCCTGCAGCCCATCTCCGACCAGAAGAAGCACCGTCGCACCCGCAGCGGCTGCTTCACCTGTCGCTCCCGCCGCATCAAATGTGACGAGACCCGCCCCGTCTGCGATCGATGTCGCAAGGGCAACCGCGATTGTGTCTACCCCTCTCCCTCCGCCCCGGGCTCCGGGCCGAAGCCGGGTTCGCGTCCGACCGCCAAAGCCCGCGGCACGCGTCCGCAGTCGCGTAGCAGTGACTCGCCCAGTCAGGCCGGTTCGGAGGACTTTCACGTGTTGGAACCTATTGCGGATGATGGGGAGGAGGAAGAAGAGAGTGTCGGGTCCCATCTCTCCCCGTCCGGGGCGTCCAGTTCGATGAAGTCCCTACCGGGAGGCGTCCCCCGAAAGCATAGTGTCCAGTCGCTCCGCCAGCATGGCGCCAAGCAGCCCTCCGTCGCCACGTCCGAGACTTCCATGTCGCACCTCGACACCAGCAGTTCTCCCTCCACCGAAGCCTCCTCGCGATATGAGTCCATGAGCGCACGGTCCGCCAGCGTCGGTTTATCCACCGAGCCCCTCAGTTTCGACCATCTCCCGGAGGATCTCCAGTTCTATCTCAATTACCACCGCGAGTTCTTAACCTTCCACCACTACTTCATGAAGTCGCGCGGGGATCCGTTCATCCATCGGACCCTCCTCGAGTTTGCGCTCCAGTACGAGCCGCTCCTCTACGCCGTCGTCGGGTTTGTCGCCTATCACCACTGCGTCCAGCTCGGCACCGGGAAACTTTTCTCGTTCCTCAAATACTACAATATGGCCTTGAAACTGTTACGGCGATCGTTGGCCTCGACCAAAACCCACGGTGAAGCGACGCTCATGACGGTGTTGGTGCTCACCAACTTTGAGGTGAGTCTGGACTATTCACCTTACCTTTCGTGCTCCGCTGATATCTCTAGGAATGCGTCGGGGACTGGGTCAATCTGATCGATCACCACCAAGCGGCCCATGCGTTAGTCCAGGAGGTATTGACGTTAGATTCCATCACAACGAATCCCCTCCATGGTCATATCTTCCTGTGGTATAGCCGGTTCGATCTGATCGCGGGCATCTTGGCGGGCAACGAGGTAGTCTTGGGTCGGGAGTGGTATGTCGCCAAAGAAGACCACGACGCCTTTGTCGCCGCCCGCTCGCCGGACGACCCCGACAAACAGCTGGCCCTGGTCGAATCAATCACACGCCGATTTGGACTCGAAATGGCCTCGTTATTCGCCAAGTTACGGCGGAACTTGATCCAGCTCGACGAGTTCAACCGACAGAGCAAGTATCTCGAACAGATGCTGGACCGGATACACGGGATTTTGGAACTACTCCGCGCGCCGGAGTGGACCGTCCAGGAGTATCCGCACCGGGTCCCCTTGACCGACGATGACGTGGTGGATCCTTACGTTCCGGGGGGCTTGCTTTACGGGCCGTACTGGGATGTCAATTACGCCTGGATCGAGTATCATTCCGTGAAAGCCATGTTCAAGTATCAGCTCTCGTCCCTGACGCATTCGCCCGTGGAAGAACTGAAAGTGATCGAGGTGGAGGTGTGTCGACTGATCGAGTCGATCCACCGATGGCCGGACAAAGAGAATGGGTACATGTACGCCTTTAAGAACTGCTTCGGTCTGAGCGCCATGCTTCTCCACGACAACCCCAAATATGTTGCGTGGAGCTGCCACAAACTCGCCCTATTGGAACAAAACGGGTATGTCACAGACTGTTTTACTTATATTTATTTTCCAGCACTAATGGACTTTCAGATATATGATTCCGCCCAAGTTACGATCAGGGCTCGCGGTGCTTTTTCAGATGCCGGAGATCAACCATTGGTGGCTTCCGAATGATGAAGGCTATCCACCGATCATCCGGGAAATACGTGCGATGACCGAGGAGCGAACGAACAACCCTCGGGATCACTTCCGGGAGAGCGTCCGCGATCTGAAGACGTTATTCTACAAGATCAACATCGACGATACCGAAAGCGAAGGCAGTCCCGCTTCCATGGGGGATAATCTATAACAGTCTTTGTGCCTAGACTTCGCAGTTTGTCTGGAAGATCTATGTCCGAACGATACCCACCAACCGTATACCACTACCCATATAACGCCTCGTCACCTCTCCCACCATCTCCGCGGCGACTCTCCACAGCGAGTGACCGGCTTTGAACCCCTGAACTCCCCCCTCACCATAAATTCCCATATTTAATACCGCATATACCCCTGGCTTACCCATTAACGATCTACGAACTATATACTGTTGCTGTGCTGTGACTTGTGATTGTGTCTGTGAACCTTAGAGTTGGATTAGAGGAGTGAACGATTGACGATTGGCGGGAGGCTTTCTGGAAGCGATAGCCATCAATATATGGTTTATACATATATTTACCACGTTCAATGTACTATTCTCCGTGTCTTCATGGTGGATATGTTAGATGTAATATTGTAGTCTATTCGCTGGCTACCTATAGCAGTATATACCGTCCTATCCAGGTACCTAGGTAAGAAAGTACTCCATATATTCCTGAGTTTTCATACCGCTCTAATCTAGTTGTAGAGCAAGCAATGTATAGAATCGTGTACAAGAGAGGAACATAGATCCTCGCCAGCTGCACATACCCATGAGTCACCGATAGTTACTACTCGACGCCCGTCATAGTTCCAGCTAAGCTGTTTGATTGTATACAAACAAGTCAGTAGTTATCAACAGTATATGACTAACCCTACTACAAGATCGAATATCAAAGCAGTGTCTAGTTAAATATCATTCATGTAAGTGACTGCAATCCATTGGCATATCAGAGATCTGATCGGCTCAGTTATGGAACATCATTTGAGGCACCCGGCTGAGAAGTATTATACACAGTGATTGTCTTGGGGCAATAGCTGGAGGGCTTTGTATTACATTATACAAAAACATATCGGAGAGAAGATGATAGCCATTACGGAGCATACAGAGTAGAGGAATATGTCAGTGACGGTGAAGAGCCCTGGACTGTCAACTTAGGCGGATGGCTTTGTGACAGTGCACCTTTTACTATTTGACTAAGGGGAGAGAATCAACTCACGTGGTGTACATAGATTTATCTATTGCTCTGGTTCTCCTATAATCAGCGTTCTGTCTTTCCTATCCATTATTCGTCATCTCAGAGCCAAAATATTGTACATGATCCCGTCACGCCCATTATCACATTACGCTTTGGGAAAGGCTCTTGATCGGGCGTAAGGAGAGATGGAAACAGGGTAGAAGAATCCTTCCGTCTCTTTGATATTCATGAGGGTTGCAGTTCTTGTTACTCCGTCCCAGTTCCCCCCATCTGCACTGAGCGTTCTTCGTCACCCATTGATTTCATGTGATTATTTGGATACAGAAGAAGAAGCAGCAGGAACCTCCCTCGCCAAAACAACAGTCTCCAACCCCCCAGCCAACTCCCCCCCACCACCACCATACTCCCCATCCGCCTCAGTCTCTATCCCCCAAGGCAACGAATCAACATCAACCTCCCACCCAAGCAAACACCGCAGCACGACCCCCGCCCCCGCCTTACTCATAACAGCATTCATCTCCTTGCACCGCTCGTAGCAAACACACTCCACGCATCCTTGCGGATTAAGACACGGACAGCCCTCTATCCTCGCCACCGCGCGCTCGAGTAGCATGTCGATGAATTCGAACGCTTTGGCTGCTATCCCCGACCCGCATGGTCCGCCCTTCGCGTCGTAGAAGGTTAGACGCGCCGGTCGTTGGCGAGCGGGTGGTTTTAACAATTTCTCCACATTATCTTTAAGATTACCCCTGGCAAAGCCAGGACGAGAAGAGGACTGTGAGGCGAGGCGCAGATTCTTACCCAGCTCCTTTTTCGCAACCTTGCACTCCGTGCGGACGTCGCCAGGGGAGGAGATCACGAAGGTTGGAAGCAGGGAGAGCACGGCGTGTTCGGCGGCATGGATGGCTGCTGCTGCGTTTAGGTTGTGCGAGGAGAGGATGGAGAGGGCGCGCGCTGGGATGTCGAGCCACATGCCTTTTGTGTGGATTTCGATTGGGGGGTTGGAGACGGGTACTGCGTCGAGGATTTGGCCGATTTTGTCGAGTTTGAAGAAGCCGTAGACTATGGCGTGGATGCGGACGGGGCCGTAGAAGGCTTTGCTGGGGTCTGAGTCCTTACTGTTGTTGGTGTCTTCTGGGGGTTGGTTGGTGGGTGGTTGTGGTGATGACGGCGATGGCTGTGGTGGAGAGGCTAGGATGGGACGCATCATCTCCGTCTCGATCGGGTCGATGTCCGTATAGTCGCGCTGCATGGTGGTCCAGCTGACGTGGACGCGGATAACGCGGGCAAAGTGCATGTCTGGGTTGAGCTCTTGCACTAGATAGGTCTGGCCCTGGTGTAAAAAGATCCCCCCTTCATAGATGGTGAAGAAGGCTCGCGAGGCCTCTACCTCTTCTAGGACCACGTTGCGCGCGTTGGTCGTGTCGATCACTGCAAAGTGCTGGTCCTCAGTATCGCGGATCGAGACGCTACGGGACGGCTGCGGCCGGAAGCGCTCGTGGCAGTGGTAGAAGCCTAGTCCGTCGCGGGTGAGCCGCGTGGTCGCGAGAGTAGGCAGCTGGGGCCCAAAGTAGACGGTGTCTTCGTCAGGGCGAATGGGCATCTCGAAGGCAGCGCACTGCACGTGGCCTTCTAGGATGAGCTCGTTGGCGAGGTCAACCTGCAGTGCACAGTTAGGCTGTGTGAACAGCTCCTCCGGATTGCGCATGTAGTACTGGTCGGTTGGGAAGCGGTCTCCGACCAAGACGGACAGCGAGTCCTTGTTGCGGCGGCCGGCGCGGCCGCTCTGCTGTCGCAGGTTGGAGATTGAGTACGGGAACCCCATTGTGATGACTGCGTCGAGCGAGCCAATGTCGACACCGAGCTCGAGCGCGTTGGTCGCTACGACGCCCATCAGCTGGCCTTCGAACATCTCTTTCTCGATCTGTCGACGGTCCTGCGCGCTGTAGCCGCCGCGGTAGCCCATGACTAGCTTTCCAACTTCTTCGCGCCGCAGGACCCGGAACTCGTTCCGTACGGCTTGCAAGAGGCTCTCGCAGAGGCGCCGCACTCTGCAGAATGCGATTACTCGCACGCCTCGTAGGATCAGTTGGCAAAATAAGCGTGCGGTTTCAGCTACGCTGTCTGCCCGTCCGGACGTCGGGTCGTGGGGATCTTTGAATGGCGTGTTCCAGCAAATGAATTCCTTCTGGCCTGAAGGGGAACCGTCAAAGTCAATCAGCTTGACATCGTCGACGCCGAATATCGCCTTCATGTGGTCTTCCGGGTTGGCGACGGTCGCCGAGCATGAGATGAACCGGACGTGTCGGTTACCTACGGCAGCACAGATCCTACGCAGCCGGCGCATGATAAACGCGACGTGGGACCCGAAGAGGCCGTCGTAGACGTGTAGCTCGTCGACCACGACGAATTTCAGGTTCTGCAGAAAGGAGCGCCATGCGCTTTCCTGTGGTAGAATCGTGATGTGGAGCATGTCGGGGTTGGTAAAGACGATGCGCGCTTCGTCGCGGATGAGGTTGCGGCTCTCCATCGGGGTGTCTCCATCAAAGGTCTCGACCATTGTGTCCTGGAAGCCGTCCATGTACTGTAGCAGCTCTTTCATGCTGCGTCTCTGGTCCTGTGCCAACGCCTTTGTGGGGAATATGTACAGTCCGCGACTGAGGTGGTCCTTCTCCAACTCATGCAGCATGGGGACCTGGTAGATCAACGACTTGCCGGAACTGGTCGAGGTGGAAATAATGACATTGTGGCCTTCATACAAATGGTTGATCGCGTCCGCCTGGTGCGAGTAGAACTGTGTAATCCCCTTAGTGTTATACAAGGCATTCACCAGGCCCTGTGACAGCTCGAAATTCAACTCCCCAAAAACTGCCTGCTGGGCATCGAACACCCGATGTCCCTCTGGGACGATCTGAGTCGTGTACCAGTCCATAGTCCTTATCTCCTCAATAATCTCAGCAATCGACTTGCGCTCCGTCGGTATGCGAGGCGGCGGCTTCGATTTGACCACCGCATTGCCGCCATCAGCAGCTTCCGGAGGAACAGGAACATAGGCATTCTTCTCTGACTCCAGTTCCTCGACAGGGTCCTTGCCTTCACCCTCGCACCGCACCAAAAAAGCATCAATAGCGTCCGCAAACTTCTTGTTCCGCTTCTCAATCAACGCCAGCATCTGCTTCTGGCTGTAAACAGGCATCTTCAAATCTTCATCTCTCATCTTCCGCACGGGTTTCGCAGGCTCCCCAGTCTTAGGCTGCTGCACCTCCCGCTTGAGAACACCATCCACAAACTCAAAAAGCAAGATTTTCCTCTCCAGTTCCTGGTTCTCCACATCCTGGGGCGAGTCACCATCCACAGATAACCCATTCCGCCCATACGTCTCCAGCACCTCCTTCTCGCCCGAATTCATGACCTCCAACTGAGACTCATCTACATACTCGAAGCGCACCGCGCGCGGGACAAGGGTTTTCACCCTCGCGATGTCCTCGACCGTTAAGCTCTCCCCACCCAGCTGCGCCTGAACGGCATTTTTGATATTCTCAAAAGTAGTGGCAAAGTGCTTCCGCGTGCAGCAGAACGTATACACGAGGTTCAGCGCGCGGTGGGTCCGAGATAGCTTCTTGAAGGGCTCAGGCCAGGCGCCCGAGGGGGTCTGTTTTTTGGGTGCGGCGGTGGGGACTTTGGGTTTACGACCGCGTTGCTTGGGTTTCTGAGTAGACTTTAAAGATGTTTCGTGAGTGCTGGGCGCATCGTCGCTGGTGACGTCGCTTGTTGCTGTATTTTGAGCTGATTTGCTTTGCTCCGGCTCGGGAGTGGCTGAGCTTTCTGTTGCTTTGTGAACCGAGCTATCAACTTGATTGTCTTCTTTGGTGGAAGCTCTCTTTCGCTTTTGTCCAGAGTATGGCAGTGTCGTGGGTGAGGCTGGGGTGGTCATCTTGATAGTGCCTCATGGTGTCTTTATAAGAGACCAGGGAGGCTCAGTAGGTACAAACTGCCTGGAGACGAGTCCATTGATTCCGATAACAGAATTTTAGTGTACCACAAGGTCGATTGAGTGTGCTCAAGAGGAGGTCAATATATCTTCATCTCTCACCGTTCGATGGTTGAAGAGGCGACAAGTATGATCGATCTACACCATGGGTCGGATTACAGGTCTAACCCGTTTTGGAATCTAAATCACGTGGATCAGTTGAGATATATTTGTAGGCAGCATGTAGCCTGTATTCTAGTTTACATCGAGATACGCTTTCAATGATTTGAGTTCGAGTTGGGCATACCACTGCCACGTCTGCAGATATTTATAATTAGGTACAGTTGGCAGTAAGCGTGCATACTGTGCGGGGGGTGGCTATGAATCAAACTAGAAACACCATCATAGTATGTACTCTACACAGTTCGCTATAGTAGATGAAAGCGAACATATAGACGTGCTATAACTGAAGACTGTACAGTGGGGCGCCGCAAACTCATGTATATTCATAAAGAATGGCGCAGCAACAAGAACAAAATGAACAGAATTAAAAAGCCAATATCAAGGACAAATAACCTTGATATCGACTACCAAACGCAGAGAGCCACACTCCCAAAGCCCTAGTCGGCACACACTCCTTGTATACTCCTCTTCCTAAATGCAAAAATCCTACGTCCCAGATCCCCAAGTCCCCCACTCCCGCACGCCAGAATTCAGGTGAGGGAGAAGCCTTGATGCTTTTAGACCGACGAGCTTCTCGGCAGGCTATCGTTGGCTTCAGCGAGGGCGCCCCTACAGCGAATTACAGACTGGTCGCGCCGTCTGTGCTGTGGGCCGGCTTATTGATGCTCGAGGAGGCTGCACACCACCTGGTAAAGCTCCTTGGTTTGTTCTTCGTTACCGGTCTGTGCTGGATTAGCTTTCCTGATTTCGATTCTCGTTGGTAAGGGGTTGGAATATACCCGTAGCAAGGTCGGGACGGATCGACCACTCTCAAGGCTGGCGAGATGGATCTGCTTCGACTTGGGCTCTTTGCCTGCGGCATCACCAACCGTCATGCCCTTGAAGATGGGCGTGTTCAACATGACGCGCCCAACGCCGTCAGCGCGCATGATCAAGCGGGCTGCCTTCTTATTCTCCTTTCCATCGGTCACCTTGACATTGACTTTGAAGGTGCCGACTCCCCGCTCCCGCCATTCTCTATCAGAGAACTGGAACAGCTTTGCCTTGCAAGCAAAGTATGTCTTCTCTTCTTCCTCGCCCGTTTCAACTATCGAGAAAAAGGTCTAGTCAGTAGGCGTACGTGCGATATTAAAGCCGTGGGTACATACTCGGCCGCTCAAAAAATCTCTCATCAGTCTTGTCCTGCTCAAATTCGCCAGGGCCGGTGTCTTCCTCTTGTTGAGCTTCGTTCTCATCTTCCTCCTCCTCCTCGGCAGCCCCAAACGGCTTGTCCTTACTAGTACTGGTACTACCAAGGACGCTAGGCCCACCTGGCGAAGCGAAACTTGTGAGGCCGCCTGTCGTCCCAGCGGACCCGAAACCGCCACTGAAGCCAGAAAAACCGGACCCCAGACTCGCAAATCCTGAAGATCCAGCTCCAGATGCAAAACCAGTCGCGGGGGACTTTGCAGGCTCTGTCGAAGCCGGCGACTTGAATACAGATGAGCCAGAGCTTCCTAACGAGCCGAAGGGAGACTTCTCTGAGCCTGCAAAAGCGGACAGGCTAGATGCTGCGAAGGCGGATGAGGAGGTAGCAGCGGCTGGTTTTGCGGATTCCCCTTTCGAATCCGAGGCACCAAGCGAGCCAAATGGTGAGATAGTCGAAGTATTTGCGAATCCACTAGCTGCAGGCACCTGTTCAAACACAAACACAATCAGCACGAGCTCTATTTCCCCAAAGCTCGAAGAAACCAAAACTTACCGAGCTCTTCTCTTCGTCTCGGTGCCGCTTCTTTTCAGGCTCTCCCTCCACATCAGGCTTGTCTTGGGCCGCACCGTTCTCCACGGAGCCCTTGTCGTTGGATTTCTCGGCCGCCTCTTCCGCCACGGGCTCATCTTTATCCAGCTGATCCCTGCTTCGCTTCTTCTTAGGAAACTTTTTATCGGCGCCCTCGTCGGCCATCAGGGGCTTCTCCGCCAGGGCGTTGTCCTCGTCTTCGGGGTTCGAGTCGCGCGACCGCTTCCGTCGATGCTCAGGGTCTTCCTCCATTTCAGGCTGATCTTCGTTAAACGACCGCTTCCTGCCCCTACTGCTAGCCCGACTGTCCTCACTCCCGGGCGCTTGATCACCAGAGCCGTTGGTTGGATCCTCCGATACCGAATTCGTAGGGGCGGAAGTAATGGTCGTCTCCTTCAACTTGTTCCGAACGGGCCGCTCGCCACTGCCGTCATTATCGGATGTCTGGGAATCTTCCGCAGCGACCGCTGGAAAATGCATCGTCAGCACGAATAAAAAATCACGCCAGTCGAATCGCAACTGTTTGGGACTTGACGGGGAAAAATCGCATCGTGCGGACACAGCGCAACCCCGTTACGTCACTTTCATACCTTTGGTATCCATGGGCTCGTCCTTCAGTACAACTAACGTTCCGCAAATGTAAGCATCACCCTGTAAGCAAGACACACCCGTCGGCTTTGCCGACCAATGTGGTGTGATCCCTCTCCAACTCACCTCCATATCGCGGTTCCGAAGTCATACTGGGGTAGACCGTTTCAAAATGCCGCCAAAAATTCCGATCGAACCAAAAGTACCAAGTGGGGGGGAAACCAGTCGATCTCAAGCGAAGCCGATCGCAGGGGAGCAAGACGTTTTAAGCCGCGTCGGGGTGGGGGATCGGGAGTAGGCAGGATGTATGGCCTGTGAGTAGACAACAAAGACGTCAGCGTATGAACGAGGCCTTCCAGGATCCAGACAAGTTGCGTCGGAATCTAAGTTCGAGCCCAGCTCAACCCAATGCAGAGCAGGCCGTGCAAAGCAGGTGAAAAACGCAAAGCGAAAACCGGTCCCACCAGCCAACGCAGTGAGGAAGAAAACCCATACCAGTTTCTGCGCCCGTTGTAGAGATCGCGAACAGGACTTGTCGACTTCAGAGATTTCGTCGCTCAAGTCTCCGTAGCCAGTGCAGCAGACGTTAAAGATAGCGCTTTTGCTCACGGTGGGCGGCAGCCAAAGCTTGATAGGTGAGCGGGCGCCTCGGCAGAGCTCGTACGAGCGACCCAAAGCTTGGTATTAACCGACAAGAAGGGAATTAAACGGCTGAGGTCCCTCACTCAAGGTTGCGAAAGTGACAGGACGGTAGACTGATCTGACGAGGGAGTGGTGCGAGTCGAGTCGAGAAGATTCAAGTGTCGAGTAGACGAACGGGTTGCCAGCAATCAAGCGGCGCTGCTTTGTTGTCGTTCGACGGACCTGTCGCCCGGTCACCGCCCCGCCGCATTTAGTATGCGTTGTGTATGGAGGGGGGAACTTCTCGGCACTGATATCACCACCGTTTTCATTTGTTTATTACATGCTAGTAAGCCTAACGAAATTCAGATGCGCAACGTTCCATTGGATATCTTCTGGTCGCTAGGATGGGTTCTAATATCAAGACATACAAACATTGAGGCATGAAAAAAAAAAAAATAGGAAATAAAGGGGAAAAATAAAAGGAAAAAAGGGAAAAAAGGGAAACAAGAGAAATGGTAAGAGATAAGAAAGTAAATAGAGCAACGTTGAGATGAACGACACACCACATGGGATACACTTTGGTCTATTCATCTTTTCTTCTCTGGCATACTCATCCATACAATGGTGCTGGTCGTATTACCAGGAATCCTGCCACAGCTACCATACCAACTCACCCCTCCGTTTAGCTGATGAAACAGAGGCAACCGATCGCAATGTAAAACACGAACAACGGATATACCGCAATACCCACACGGTTGCGAACGACTCCCGAGCCGCCCAGAATGCTGACACCTGCAGCCAAAGACCATGCGACCAAGACGAGATATACCGGTATCCGTGCAATGGTTGGAAGACCGAAGGCACTAAGCAGGGCAGCGATGACCAGAGGGAAGAGGGTGTAACCGATGATGCAGACCGACTGGAAAAAGGAACTAGACAAGCCAAAGTCGTCAGTAATTGTGCCTTGCGCGGTCGCGAGGCGACGGAGTATTGGGACATACATGTTTCCGCCCAGTAATTTGATCTGGAGAGTCACAACCATTTCGCCGAGCCAGACAATACAGAAGACGCCAGAAAAGACGACATCGGTCTGCTCGCTCGAGGCCCGCATTGACAAGAACATGCTCAGCAGCAAGCAGAAGACCAGGGGACCCCTAGACGCAAAGAAAAAGAAAAAGTGGTTAGCAAAGCTGTAGCAAGAATGTCCCACGTTGTAACTCCCTCCCCGCGCTCACTTACCAAAGATCCCAATCGCGCAAGCCCTCACTCATCCCACCCTGCAAGACAACATCGGCATCAGGCCAACGACCCATGATATTCCTCAACCCGCCGCCAAACCCAGTCGCCTCTCCTCGCTCGGCAGCGCCAATGCCTCCGCCCCCACGCTGCAACATACCACCGATCAGGTACTTAGGCCAGAGGACCTGATGCATCTTCTCCCACACGGCGCGAAAGTCGCGCGACAGGGTATCCCACACACTCTCATCGATGGTGTTGTGAGGGGCGCGACGGTCTTCGCCGGGGATGGAGGACGTCAGGTAGTTTCCCGAGAGGTTGCCGCCGCGAGAGCCCGACGAGTCAGACTGGATGTTTCCCCTCAGGGGAGCGGTGTCGGAGGTATCGTGCAATGGGTCGTCGGCGTCGATAGCTGTGAGATAAGAATTGAGCCGGTCAGTCAGTCACATGGCAAGCTTCTCGAGACAAGAAAAGCGGATCGCTGATTGAAAGGAGGCAAGCATGCGACAAGAAAATCTCACCATTGTCAGCTTCGATAACATCATCATCAAGAATTGATTCATCGTCGTGCGAGTCCCTGTGGGGATAGTCCGCTGCTGCGCTGGCCATGATGGGTTATATTGTGGTGATGGTGGTTGTTGTGTCCAGGTCTGTTCGAGTCGCGGGAGTATTTAGCACCTCGGGGACATCGCCTATTGCGGCGGAAAGCGTTCGAGCGAATAGAGCTGTCGGATAGAACCAACAAGGCTGTCGAGAGGATTCGAGCAGAGAGTGCTTGACGGAGTAGCTTGTTGTCTACTCGGAGAGGCTAGAGTGGCATTACTACTTACGTACGCGGCACGGGCTGAAAGGGGAAGGCGGAACGTGCCCGGCGATTAATTATCAGCTTGAAACATCACTTGTTACAGCAATTCTTGAATATCTAATTTCATATGCTACAAAGACTCCATCTATAAATACAGTGTATATCTTTTTGAGGCGCCAGCTAAACAACTCCTCCAACAGCCGTGACTATGGACAGACAAACACAACATATCTCGAAATCTAGAATGTGCGACCCAGCTGTAAGTAAAGGTCACCAGTAGTATACACATGAGTAGTAAGACATCAACATCAACGCCTGTATATGCATGCATTAAAGAAAGGAGGGGGGTAGAGTCGACCAAGAAACAATGTCGATTATATCAAAACCGTTGGTGCATTTTGCTGAGTTCTTAAACCTCAGCATGAGAGTCGCCAACCTCCTCGGGAGCAGCGTCCGCATTTTCTCTATCCTTGAACTCCAATATTTGATCCGGAGTCGGCGCCACCAGCATCTTCGCGTACTTCTTCTCCAGCTCGGCCTTGGAGTATTTTCTCAACTCCCTCGACTCATTCTCCAGAGCCTTGCGCTCGTCTTTGGAGACCGAAGTCGCGTGTTCCGGCTTCAAGATATTATCCATCAAGCCTCGATACTGGATCAACACCTTCACGGACAGAGAGCCGTCCACTGCCTGCTGAAGCATGTTCCGCGGCAGACGACGACCGATGGGCACAACCTGTCCGTGCTCGAGAGCCGTGGCCAGCTTAGTGACATGTGGTCGCAGCTGTTCGACAGCCACCTTCTGCAAGGCGATCTGTAACTCTCGACCAAGATTCCCCAGCTTTTTGGAGGCCTTGTTCGCGTTATCGAGACCATTCAGCGTGACGAGGGATTGGGGATTGCGCTCCAAAGTCCGGATGAGGTCCAGGTATCCCTCCAAGACGCGGGAATCCGGCAGAACAAGAGCCTCTCCCATGAGTCGGATGAGTTCATTGGCGTGTTTCAGGACATTCATGTTCTTTCGGTCGCGACGGCAGCTGCTCAACGCAATGTGGAATGACGTTCCCGATACTACCTTCGCCGGTACCATCTGATCGCGCACGACTTCAGCAGCTAAACGGCTCCCACGCGCAAGTCGCAGAAGTCGCAGGTACTCGTGGTAAGCGCCCATGTCTGGCTCGACCTTGTAAGGGTGGTCTTCTTGCGTAAGGTGCTGCCAGTAGCCCTTGCCAGCCCCCAGCGCTTGAGTCATCTCCATGCAGGTTTGGAGAATCAGTGTAAGTTCTCGATTGCCAACCGGGATGTGCTTTGGGCCCGAAGCCTCTGCAGTCCTCCCATTTTCCGGGGGAGAAACGTCCTCTGGAAGAACGGGGTTGAAGAGATCGTCGAAGTTTTCCTCCTCTTCCTCCTCCTCGGGCTTGGAGATCGCCCTCGGCCTGTAGAGCTGTTCTCCCTCATCAACAAAAGGTACATCCTCCACTTCTTCACTCTCGCGAAAACGCCCAGCCTGCAGTCTCGATCCCGCAGCGCGGCGTCCGCGAATCTCCGTAGGAGGTTTCTTCGCGAGGATGGGAATCCCCGCAGTCTGGTTCAGCAACGCGAAAACATCGTAGCAATCGCGATCGGTGGAGCCTCCCTGGAGCACCTTGGCCATGGCGCTCACGAGACGGTTATCAAGCTCCATCTGGCCTTTCCTCCATCGGTACACCACGTCCGCCCAGATCCGCTTACCCTCCGTCACGCTTTGTGCCTTTCTCGCCAGAGCCCGGTCGGTGTCGGGGGCACTCTCAACCGCCAGGTCCTTCTGAGCAGCATCGTATATAGCTCTCAAAATAATAGAGTACGTAGTCGGATCTGGCGAGTTCGGCCCGTCCTCGGGCAGCTCGCCGGCCACTTGCCAGAGGGTCTCCAAATCCGTATGGTAGCAGCAGACCTTCAGCATCGCGTTCCCGTGGATGATATTCTGCTCGACGAACGAGTTGGGCGCCGAGATGGACCGGTAGATAGAAAGCGCCGTCTTGACCGGGTCGAGTCCAGCGTCTTTCCCAGCCTGACTCAGCCCATCTAACATGATCGTATAAGTCCTCGACGTCGGCTTCCGGCCTCTCTTTTTCATCTATATTCGCAAAAAAAAAAGTCAGTCAGCCACAATCCCCGATCCGACACCTCACCAAACGAAAGAACAACACACCTCATGATAAAACTTAAAAGCCGCCAGCGCCCGCCCACTCTCCATACAATACTCCAGCAGACGATTCCACGCCACCGAGCACTCCATGCGTTCTTTCTGCGCCTCGCGAACCAACGCCGCCGCCAAAGCGACATTCCCCGCGCCCAGCAGCCTCGCAACTCGGTCGGCCAGCGCCCGAGGGTCCTTCAACCACTTGATCTCCATGTCGACGACCTTCCGATTAACCGGACTGGTCAAGTCCACCCTTCCGCGCGCTTTGAGTGACGTCCCCGCAGCTGCGATATCGAGGAGCGGATCGGCTTCTGCATCGTTCGTGTGGCGTGTTCTTGTCTCTGGGGCATCGGGCGTTTCCCTCGGGGTAGTGTCTCTGTTCAAGGCGTCCCAATCGGAGGGTTCGTGCTCGGTAGAGAACTTCCTGATGTTCACTGGTGACCCAATGCGTCTGGAATTCGCACTCTGGGAAATGCTCAGCGCCCTCTGACCGAACACGCCGCGGATCCCGCCGGACCAATTTGCGCACGCGCACGCAGAAACCCTCATTGCCATATTATTGTTCCTGAACCCCGTTCGCAGAGCGCTGACATTATTTCCGCGAAGCATTTAAGTGTTATACTGACTGATATCCGCTGGTCTCGTGGCGCAGGGAAGATTTTTCGAGTCGCCGCTGGATAGAAAAGATGTAATGAATATAATACACCAAACGAATGTGGCGAAAAGAGAAAGAAAAGAAGAAGAAAAACAATATGCAGGTTTATACAAAAACCACTCAAATGCAGACCCAAAAATCTCTCCAAGAAGGAACTGAGAACTGCGACAGATCGAATACCGTCCTATGGCTGCAACCGCAATCGCATCTGATTTCATCGCGCCCCCAGACACTTTTTGGATGAGTAATCTGATCAGCACAACTTGCCTCAGACATTAGTGTTAGTCAGCGGGCATAAGTTACAGCTCGACACCTCAGGCAGCAAAGCGTTCCCGCTACTTAACTCAGTCAACCAAAACTTGCAGCCATTATAACTATGTGAAGATCATTGGAACTACTAAGATCCGGTTGAATTTAGAGCTAAATTATTGAGATACATACTCCGGAGTGCTCTCCCAGTTGTTAGTTCGCTCACGACCCATAAATTAGTCAGCTCCTACCAGACCTCGAGAAGTTGCTCCGTATCCATAAAGCCCACTAAATTGATCTCAACCAAGATCTATAGGAAATAGTACATACTACTAGTACTCGGTAGTTACCGGGGATCTTAACCCTCGCGCCAAATCCAGATAACCTTACAAATTAATAAACAAATAAAGTATAAGAAAGGCAGGTAAATACAAACTAGAAACAAAAAAGAAAACCTGGATAGCTTGGTGGATGGAACAGCTACTAGTAAGAAGGTTCCTTCCGCACGTTAGTACAGGCTCTAAAAATGGTCGGTTGTGGCACACTATAGTGTATACTATCTAAGCCTTAGACATACCCGTGGCTAAATTAGTTCCCTTTCCCTTGTCCTTGGACTTAACTAGTCCATGTCCCATACATACATATACATGTCACTTACATACCGTAGTACCTATCTAGGTAAGGTACTATTGTTAAGTAGGTGCCTGGGTAGGTATATGCTATATTTGTGCTACAGACTAGTCAGGCCTAGATGCATAGTGCATGGTATACCATACCACTAGTTAGTGCTTGACAAGATCATGGCTAGTAATTGTCCGATTCCTTCCCGCGAAATGCATGTACGTACCATGTACTCCCGCGGTCCAGAGTATCCTCGTGGTTGACAGGAAGTACGTACTAGCATAGCTCCATTTAAGACTGCGCCAGCTTCTTATCTAACGCACGAAGTGCAGATTCAGTCTGTTTGAATTTTCGCTCCCAATGACGTACGGGGTATAAGTATTGAGCTAATGAACCAGATTCAAACACATTTCCCTCCGGCTTCCACTGCTTTGTACAAAGTGGTTCTTCTGGCTCGTTACTCTTCAATTCCAACCACATCGAAGAGAGGACGTATATCACCAACTCTAGAGATAATATGCTCTCGACCTCCCGCAGATCAGTCCCCCAAGGTTGGTGGTGATTCGAATCAAGATATCTTCGCCGAGACATTCGGTGACATAATAAAAGGGTAGAACAATAGATACGATTGGCAAAAAGACTAAAGCCACCAGACCGTGACTGCAACAGTCGAGTCGAAGCCATGTACAGCAACATGCACATGTCGGGGACCAACACCCAGGGTAACATAAACATTGGCCAAAGGATGGAAGAATTGAAAGGTAACAGCGATCCACACAGAGAAAGAAAGAAATTAATTGAACAAAAGGCTGCATAATCAACAAGAAAGGAAGAGAAGAGAGGGAATTCAGCTAGCACAGTATACCCCGCCAGACATCCTAACCTCACCCTAGAACCGTGTTCGCGCAAGGGATATAGAACAAGAATACCTCCCAGCTAGGGCATCCATTTTGCTCGAGCAATCTAAATCAAGAAAGATAAAGGACGAAGAAAATGGAAACAAAGAAGAGTAAAAAGGCGAAAACAAAAAGACGATTGAAAGACAAGGGTAGGTCGTAAGGCCAGGAAATGGTATCATGTGCGCAAGACTTTAATAGAATTAGATCCAGGGCGGCGATATGGGAATAGGAGACATTGATATTAGAGTATGCAACATGAGAGGCGTGAGAGAAGTTGGATATCTATTGCGGGTAGCTGGCCGATTGGTTTTCTGTATGTGCATCGTTGATTAGCCACAGGTCTGGTGCCAATAGATCCGAGGACCTCCTGCCTTGAACCAATCCATTGTCTTCACAGCTGGCTTTCTTTCTTTTTCTTTTTGGTTTTGATTCTTCGTGGCTCGGTCCTAGCAATATTTGCAGATGCAACGAGGGCGGACTACTTACGTTGTTGATACACTTGACCGCCCTGGCCGTAAGGAGAGTGAGGGTAGTTGCCGGGCGGGTACATCTGTCCGTTGCTCTGATAGACCATTCCTCCAGCAGGGGCTCCATACTGGCCAGGCACTTGGCCGTCGGCAGGCTGATAGCCAATCGGCGGCAGTTGAGGACGGACATTGCCAGGATAGGTGGGAGGCTGGGGAGTCTGCGACGGATCGGGAGCGCCAGGAGCATCCACCTGGCTGGCCTGAGCAGCCTGAGCCGCAGCGGTGCGCTCACGCTCTTCAGCAGCTTTGCGCGCGTTTTCCTCCTCCTTCTTCCGTGCCTTCCACTCCTTGCGGATCTCCTTGAACTCTGCAGTAATGAGGTGGTCAGAATGGCTTCGGATGAAGAAAGAAAAAAGGAAGTAGTAATAATCGACCACGCCGAGCGACGTCACCGGCTTGAAGACGGAGGGAAAGCAAAAATAACCTCCACACCGGCGAGTCACGCTACTGTGATCCGCCCGCGCTAAAGTTGTGTAACTTGACTAGTGCGGGAGCCGTCCGCTAGTCCATATCGGATCTACGGCGGGCCCAAAACACGAGTAAAAGAAAAACAAACAAAAAAAGACCGAATCATACCTTCAGGGGTCCGTTTGGCTCCATGAGACTGCATCGTCACATGGGCGTTCAAATGGTTGAGGGTACCATATGCCTTCTCACAGCCGTTCCATCCACACTTGTACATGCGCTCAATCTCCTCATATCGGCGACGAGGTCGCTTGTGCTGTTGCGCACCGGGAATCGGCACAAAGGAATAGACCTAGAGAACCATCACCGCATCAGCTTCTGGACAGGGAAAATAAAAAGACAAAGAGAGGTAGGTGGAATTGTGCGCCGGATTTCTCGCGTCCCTGGAGGCAGCCTCTGACAAAAGGCGGCTCCCACTCCGAGGAGGGGGGCATCCCAAGACAACAATAAACGCAGATGCGCAAAGCCGTTGGAAACAGATGCCAGAATCATCAAAAACATACCTGGCCAGGGCGCGGCCCTGCGGTGGTTGCAGGGGAGGCGGGACCAACCGTTGTGGCAGGAGTGGTATAAGGGCCAGGAAGACCATGCTGGTGTTGTCCATATCCATGCGACCAATCCGGACGCGTATACATCTGGTGCGGGGGCGGCGGCGGGTGACCTTGATACTGGGCCATGTCATGACCCGACGGCTGATAAGGCGAGTAGGGAGGAGGATAGGTAGGGCTGGAGGCCGCGATTGAAGGATCTATAGGAACGTCCGGGTCAGACTTCACGTTCGAGTGATTTCGATGGCCATTGTGCTGCCCATCATGGAGGGTTGTCATGGACGGACTTGTTGCTTGAGCCATACCTGCCGCACCACCAGGCTGAGTGTTGGGCGCGTGATGGTACTGGGGAGGTGGCCGGGCGAGGTAATCGGGATAAGCTGGGGAGCGCGCGGCGGGCGGCTGGTTCAGACCGTAGTCTGACTGCGGCGTGTTGGAGGACGAAATATTGGCGGCGGGGCGCACCTCAGGCTGCGGAGTGTACTGGTGGTTGGCGCGGACCTCGGGTTGAGGTGTGTAAGGATGAGCAGTGGCTGCAGCAGAAGTCTGGTCTGCAGCTGAAATTTCAGAATGTGTCGCAGCAGGCGGCGGTGGATATGGAAAGGGCGAACCTGGCTGCGCGTACTCGGAGGCAGGTCTGTGGTCCATATAATACAAGGTGCAAGTTACCGGACGAGATCAACCCAAACAAATCCTTCCAGTTGAACGCACGTGCCTGCTCAAGGGACGCGTCGGAGGATACAATGAGCTTTGTGGACACCAATGAAAGGAGAAAGAGGTGCCGAAGAGGATATAAAGTATAGGCAGGGGAGGAGATAGGATCAAATATAACTGAATAAGACACCAAGACCGATTGGTTTGAGTGATCCTTATTATTTCCTTTTTCCTTTTTTTTTCCCTTTTTTTTTTGTTTTCAACTTTTGGAAGGGTGGTAATGCTTAAGCAGTGAATTGAGGGGTGCTCAAGTCCGATCGGAGCACGGGGGATTGGATGGTGACTTGACCAGACGAGGAGTTGGTGGTGTCGGTGGAAAGAAAGTGAAGTAAAGAGAAAACGAGTAAGGTGATCGACGCGTAATTCTGTCGCGTTATGACCAGGTTTTTCCTCTCCAATACAGGACAAAGGAAAACAAGAAAAAATAATAATAATAAAAATAAGAAATAAAAAATAAAAATAAAAAGAGCACAAGACAAGACCAGTGCTAAAAGGGGAAGAGTATTAAGAGGGTAAAAAAAAAAGGAAAAAACGAATAAATGACAAGTGAGGATTTGTAGTCACTCGGAGACAGGTGGTGCTGGCTCACGATGCTTAATTGATTTAGTCGCCTTTAGGGTGACGGAGAATGCCTTGCAGGGTGGCGGAAGGTACAGCAGCACGAGGAACCAGCAGCCAGCAGCGGGAAAAGAAATAGGATAGTCGTATCCTGCACTGGAACAAGCTTGGGAGGGGAAAATTAAAATCAAAAAAAATAAAAGAGGGTTTGAAAAGCAGCCAGGACAAGGCCCGTACTTAGCGGTATACTAGTACTGTGGCCTAGGGCGATACACTAGAGGAAAAATAAGAAGGGGAAAAAGAAAAAGAAAAAGAAAAACGGGGGAGCCAAAGACGATGGAGATAGAAAATCAAAAATAAAAAGATTTATCCACCAGGTTCAAAAAGGTGATAGCGCTAGAGACGATGCCTCGATACTAGGTGGCAACACCGTAGGACAATGACCCTGAATCGCGACAGAGGGGAAAGTAGTTGTTCAACTTGGCCCGGAAAAAAAAGGACTGGGCAGGACAGGCGACCTAAAAGGATTTGAATCAACGGGAGCATGGGCAACAGAGGTTTTTCGGCAGAAGGAAAAACGCAGGTTTAGGAGAGCACCTCGTGGGATCCGAGGGTGCGGTGGAGCGCGTGGACCCGTAATTTTCTTTCTCTGGGCAGGTTTAAGGGAGAAAGGTAGAGAGTATGTAAAGTGAAATCAAAAGAAGAGGTAAAAGAAAAGAAAGATAATAATCAAATAGAGGGAGAAAATTAAAACATAATACAATATAATAGATAGATAAAATAGAAATAGAATAATTAAATCAAAAGGTCGACTGTAATAAGGTGGTAACACGTATTAATCAGACGAAGGGGGGCGGTTTTGGTATCACTAATACTGAGAGGGGGCCACCCCCGGAGGATAAAATGTAATTTGTTCGTTGTTACTTCACCCTCCCCTTCTCTGTCAAAAACTTCTTGCTGTTGCTTTCTGGTGACGGGATCCGTTGCCAATAAGAAAGCTGCTCTGACCCACTTCTTTTTCTTTTTTCCCTCGATGAAATATCAGAGTGGGCCCAATATGAACTCTTTCTATTACGGAGTACAGAATGCTTCAGAGTATGATACTCTTTGGCCTTACTTTGTCCACCATACCTACGTGTAAAGTCGTTAAGCTTTCCTTTGTCTGTCTGACAAGGAGGATAAGTAAAGAAAAAAAAAATCATTTAACAAAAAAAAAAATAAAAAAGAAAATAGAGAGAAGGAAAAATAAGGAAGAGGAAAAATGAAGTGGGGAAGAATTTCTTCTTCTTTATTGTTTTGGCTTCCTCTCCTGAAATGCGGGCGGTACAATCCGCGATATGGTGGCGAAATAAATGTATTGGAAGAGTGGGAAGAGTGGGAAGAGAGAGAAAAAAAAAATAAAAAAATTTTGCTTGGTATCAGCTCTCCTTTTTTTTTTTTTCTTTCCCCCCCTTTATCTTTTCTACCTTTTTTAATTATTTGATTTTCTTTTTATTTTTCTCTATTATTCAATCTCAAAGGTTCTTCCCGATTTTTCTCGTATTTTTCAGATTTTTCCCACCCCCCTCTTTATCACCAGTTGTGATCGCAGGAAGAAAGAAATCCAATATCCATAGAGATCCAAAACTGACGTTGAAACAGACTCGCTAGGCCGTAGGACAAAGCTGTTGACAGATGGCTTTAGCTTGGATAGCCTACCCGCGATTCGGGACGGGCGATAGATGGTGCGCGCGTTGTTCGAGTTTGGTCACAGGGAGAGGTTAGTTAGAACAACCGGTGCGTGAACCTAGCGTGTATGCGCCCGTGGGCTGCGACCAAGATCTTTGGCCAACGCCCTGGGCTTACAGTACTATAGTAGGTCCTCGGCACACCAGCGAAGATGGTGGCCCAGGAATGGCGTGCCCGAGGAACGGCTTGAACGGTTGGCGACAAGGCCCGGATAGTGCGGCACTAGTGAGAAACAGGGTGTAGCGCAGGTCGGGGGAAGCGAAGTCTCCGTAGTGGAGACTGGTTAGCAGATGGAGGTAACTAAGTAAAGTATAATATGTATAGTATCGGCGAAAGATGATACTGACCGTGTTGGTAGTAGTAATAGTAGTAGCTGACCGGTGCTGAGACCAAGTCCATGATGATAATACAATCGATCGAATCGATACTCTGGCGATCCTCTAACTAAAGACTGCTCCAGCATAGAATCTTGAGGTTTGGAGCATCAGTTGTTCTTGAACGGTGGAGGGGTGATTGTACTGTAATGGAGTAAGTAACAGTATGTTTCAATCTTCTTGGACCCGTCCCCTCCCAGGAGAGCGGGGAAACAAAATCAATCATCCAACCGAGATGATATTGTTGTTCCCCCGTGGAGTCAACGCAACTGTGTGGCTAGGCAGAAGTCAATTGTTTATTGCGATCAAGATGTGTTTGGCGCTCTTGTCTATTCTGTCTGTCTTTCAATTCTGGCCGTTTTTGTCTCCAGTTGCTGTACCTATTCACAACTACATTGAGACTGAAAGGTCCTCCTGCCTCGATGATATGTAATCAATGGTATAGTACGCACTCCCAGTACTCCATACTGAGTACAGACAAGTTTCCTGGTAATGTACGGTAAACCACATTCGACTAGTCACTAGCGCCATCCATTGCACAAGTCAGGAACGCGTCAATGGGGAACACGAGGGTCACGACCCAATCGACACCACGGAATTCATAAATCTGTTCGGATATTAGCTTGGTTTTTAAACTAACAGTACACTCGGGCACTAGTCAATATGTATTTTATATTCCAAACAATGAGCCCTGTTCCACTGGCCATCTATCTACTAAATATTTGGCGGGCGGGAAGAGAGGGGGGGGTTGTAGATGGTACCGATCGATCAAGCATTGATTTTCTAAGCGGAGGGGAAAGGATTTCAAGAGGGAGGGGAAATTAAGTCAAGTCAGTGACAAGGAACCAACATCTGCCATACATCAGAACAAGTCAGGTGAAAGGGCTATCAAGATAATCTTTATTACCGCATAGTGTGGCACAAGGTACTTTTGTCATGACTTGTCTCCATAATCACCTAGTTGAGAGCTTTCCCCATAATTATATCTGACGAAGTTCTGACATAGCCGGTCATTACTAAACTGGTTCCCGGACAGATTGACGAGATATTAATACCACCTCGATCGGAGGTAGAGACCATAAAACAATTGATTTGGAGTTACGATGGCTCATAATTCGACCAACTGTTTATTGGAGTCTCCACCAGTCAACACCCGGGATTGGTCAACAACTCACAGAGGTACCCTCACAATGGCAGGTGGTAGATAAGGACCGAGTGATTTTATTACCGTCGCAATGGACACCCTAATTGAATCTCTACCATGCCGATAATATTAAAAATGGACAACGGCTCGGTAAGCTCCATTGCCATAAAATGACAGCACGGCGTACTCCGGAGGAATATCATCCTGAAATAACGAGCATCCATCAATCCGAACCCAGATGGGGGGGGGGAGAAACAAAGAAGTACCTAGGATACATTGGATGTCATATCACGGAATGGCTATTTGATGTGAAGATCCTTACTGCTTTAGTTGGGGAGAGGGACATGCTTTTCCCACCTTACGAAAAGGGGTAACGGCGGATTTGTTTTTGATAGGAAGACCGTACCCCAAGGCAGAAAAGAAAATACTAAAGGGTCGGGAACAAATGCAGGGCTCCAATCTTGGTAGGACTTCTCTGGGCGGATGTGGATTTCTTTTGGTTGATCCATACCCCGCGCAGCGGACCCAAACATCGGTGTCTATTGCTGCATTGCACCCTGCTTCCCGGTGAAGAGCAACATATTGGATGTGAGTTCTACCCTGTATATCTCGCCTACCGTGTAAACTGTATGCATCAATTGTATCTTGTCGGGTACAGTCTGAGCATAAATAGCATTTCATAACAGGGATCATAAATCTTAGATAGTAAACGGAGTAGACGCATTTGTATCTAACATTGCACCCAGTAACTGAATTGGCCAGTGCAGCTGATAACTATACAGGATGTGTCGGGCGAGAGCACCCACTGTCAGGTGATAACAAGTGGATCAAAGAAAACAGACCTCCGTAGTGATATGGTAATAGATTCGTTTCTCGGTATCAAGTCCGAATGGCCCCTTTTCCTTCCCAAAAAAAAAAAAGACCAGAATTATAATCACAAGCTCACATACTCTATCCCCCCTCATACCCGGTATTATCGATGTCTCTCACAATCAAAGAATATATCGTATAGCACAAAGTCCGGTACGAAAGCCTGCAAACGATTGCAGGGAACGGAATCAGGCCATTCATCCCCGAACGAAGATATGGGGTAATTAATACTAGATACCTACTAACATCACGGTACGATATACAACATTGTGTTTCGGATGCTGGCCGATTAGTACTCAAGGCCCACGGCTGGCCGTCGATCGGGTTTAAACACCCCCCTTCTCTAACACTGGTTTCTCCACTGGAGGTGAGCAATGGTATTCTTTTTCTCAAGTAAAAGCCCTTGATCAAGCACGATCCAAACTAGTAGGACCTCGTTCATCCACGCGTGAGGGGGAAAGGGATTGAATGCATTTAGGGATGTATCAGTAAGCATATATTTTGATAGATGCCAAGTGCCATGCATGCCGCATAAGAAACAAGAAATACCAACAGAGGCGTAATGATGTTTTGTATGGAGGTACTCCGTACCCCGTACAGACATAGGTATTGATTACAGGTGATGGGTGGGACCCACATTGACAACACAAAGGAGCCGTCTGACTCGACCTCTTTTTTTATTAATTTTGTTTTCTTGTTGGTAGGAAGAGGGGAGGGAAAGAAAAAGATTATTGTGATGGAGCATCATATGCACATGATAGGGGTAAGTTCTCCGCGGACAGACGAGAATGTGCAGCACGCAAGTTCCATTTCTTTGTCTTTGTCTTCCCCCTTTTCATCGCAGCGGATAATAATATCAAATATGCATAGGGGATATACCTGTCATTATTATGTAGGTTGACCAGCACTTCAGCATCATAGGCGATCACAATGTGTCCGTGTCCAAGCTAACTGGGAACTTGGTGCATAGGTAAAAATCTAGGGGTGAACTAGGTATGATCTCACTATGCTCCACGTGGAACTAATGGCTTTCACCATGATTGCTTGATTGCTCGATTGCCTGGACTGCAGGGCAACAGATAGGGTGAATCAGGCCATGCTGCTCTTCACTATAACCACTACCAGGGGAGCAAGTCCGTTTGACCCCCCCGACCACTGTACCTCGGTACATCAAGGGGAAAAATAAATCCAAATACAACGGCTGATTTGTATTATTAATGACAATTCTATACCGAAGCAACCATCAGTTCGTAATCGTATTGACCCCGAAATCTCCGCAAAAGAGGCAGCAGCAGTCACCATCACGTCGAGCGACATACCCAATCTGGATCAAGGTCAGGCTTGCTCTTCGTTATATACCAAGGTGGAGTCCGAAACAGCAACCAAGGATAGGGTTATTGTTCTTATTATTTTAAGAAAAGGGCGGGCTCATCTCCGTCTCTAAACTCAAAAGCCAAAATGTTCCGTCAGCGCATGGAACAGGCTGGTCCGGGAGCAAGGACCGTCTCCAAGTAATCGCGCCAATAAGAATCCCAACCATGCGCAATACTCCATAACAAAGTGTGGACTTCCGCAGGCACTAAGAGGCTAAGAGCCCGCGTCCAGTCTTGTTAAAGTTGCTCTTGATACGCGGTAAAGGACTCCGCAGGCTGCACTAGAGGCTAAATAGGGAATGCTAAACGGGCACTGGATATCGGTACGGGTACTGAGCTCCAGGCTCCCGAGTCCCCCGTTGATGGCGGCGCGTCGGGAGATGGACATGGCCAGATTTCAGTTCTAGTAGCGATATAACTAGTACTTGTCTGAGTTTCTACCGAATGAGCTGATCGCCGAGCTCGCAGTGGGCAAACGAGGAGAGTAACGATAATTTTCTTAACCGAACATAACGAGGGGGTTTTCTTCCGTCCCGTAAGCATAAGGTATTCTCATAGCACCAAAGCCAAGGATGGATTCAAATTTACTTGAATCTTCGTCGAATGATTGGTGCACAGCAGCACCTTTTCACGGTCAGCAACAGCAGTCGCTCCATCATGATAGATAAGCGTTGACATGGACTCGGTAAGCCAACTGTCCCCCAATAGTTTCCTCCAATAGTACACTACGAATTGTTCCTGAGACCCCTGAATCGGAGAGGTGATTTATGTAAAATCGAGCAAGGAATTTGTCATCGCACCCAGGCTGGAAACCGGGAAGAGTCAATGCTTGACCACTGGGCCCTCGATCTTGTCCGACCAGAGAAACGACAAGCCTCCGGAGCCGATGGCTCGCCAAGAAGGAGTATGGCCCTCCACGGTGACTCCCCAACCGGGCAGGTGGTGGGGACTGCCTGGAGCCCGTGAGGGGGGAGGTCAGCTCGAAGGATCTCTCATCACCTCCTGATCATTATCGTGATGTCTTGTCATTGGTATTTGACCAAGTTGGTATTGACAGGCATTATCGTTATTATCACATTAGCACTGCATAAGACAGCAGAATGTCTTTATTTTTTTTAGTAATTTCCAACAGCACTGCATGCCATGATGTTAACATGTTACATGTTCCATGCATGTTCTACGGCAGCTCTAAAAAGTAAGCCAGGCTGATAGTTAGTGGGAGAATTCACTCACCACATTTAAGGTCAGTTTGGCGGTGGTTGAGGCTTTCCCAGTGCGCGCGCGCCGGTTCTCTGTCTCCTGGTACGTGAGGAGGCCCACGATGCCCCTGTATGGCCAATCTCCTGTTCCCACGGGTTTATCAGCGGATTTTCCGAAATCCACCCACATGATTCAAAGGCTTTGACCTTTCCTGGAACCGCCTTCACCTTACCCTGAAAAGGTAGGTGGTATAATACACTGCAGCACTGAGCAGGTGTGTCCCCCCACCACCACCTCCCTCCTCTCCTCCCCCCACTCCCCCCAATCGAGGTTCTGCCAATCTCGTCCAGAGTCCGAGATACTACTAACCAAATGGGGCATAGGACAGGCGTGTCCAACTTCGGTAGGGACCTAACTTATTCTCCATACAACCCTGGAGCCTGCATATGCTTCGGCCGGGGCCTGGTAAGTTCTGAACTGTTTTGAACTAGTGTATTTTACAGGTTGGGGGCGATTTGGTGGAACTGTCCTTGTACTGGACGGCGCTAAGGTACCGCACCTGATCCACATCCCGGGACTAGGTCAGTATTGGTAAGAGCGGTACGGACACCAGCAATGGGACACTCGGACTAAGGCACTGGGCTACCCGGGTAGGCTATCCGCCACCTAGCGGCCTAGGAATTATGCTTGCTCAAGGTCATCGACTCTACATAAGTTGGCACATGGAGATTATATATGTGCATGCTGCAGGATAGCATATATGGTTTATAATAACCCATATACCGCGCCAAACATCAAAAGATTCTTCAGCAAAATGCCACTTCTGGCTACTCGAGATTTCTTCACGGCCAGTCGGTCGTACCCTGGGAGAAAATGGAAATACACTGGGAGGGATTGTTTTTTTTTCCTGTATGCAGCACGGAAAACTCCGTCCCAGCGACAGATATCGGACTTTGATATCCACACATAACACCGTACACCCACCCCCCACCCAGACAAAAAGCCCGACCCACCCGAAGAACCACGGGCTTTCCGCGCCTTTGTTACGCAAAATCTTACACAAAGATACACTTTGCTGAACCACGGATAGTCAGATCTGGCTTTCCCGGCGGCATGTCGGGGATGGCTTGAGGGGAGAAAGAATTATTATATCCGTGTCAACTGTGTCGATTACTGCGGTTTTGAGTGGACGACAAGTTCAGCGACTGCAGGATAGCACCTTGTTGGATCAGGGGTGTCCTTGTCAGATTATATTATTATAAGCAGCAATGATATTAATAACAATAACAAGAATAATAACGACGTTCATAAAAATCATAAAAACAAAACAAACCAGAAATAAAATAAGAAAGATAGGCGGCATAACTTCCCCAGAAACCACTCACATGATCTCGGCTACGCTACGAGAAAGAGACCCTTCTCCCCCCTCCATCCTACCCGTAGTACATACGGCCTAAGATACCTACCTACCTTGGAACGGGCCCGGTCGGTATTTTAAGTAAACTCCCCAATACCGTAGACTGAACCGGGTTAATCACCTATCAGGGTAGCAGCCGGAACCTCACAACAATCTGATTCTGCCCCGCATTGAGCCTCTATGTACGGATACTAGGTATTATGGTAGGTATCCGGGGGACGCCTACTACTACTGTTACTAGCTTAGCCCGACTAACCTCCCGGTAAGCTATAATTCTGTCAATTTGTTGGAATTGCATTGGGTTAGGGTGTCGTGCTCGCCTATGATCGGTGATATCGGGCAAGATTGCCGTCGGAAGGCATTGCCCTGCTTATGGATTATGGTGCCTTAGGTTCGGCGTATTAGGTAGGTCTATGGGGGTCCTATATGACTCAATGTTTGGTGGATGATTTTTCCGATGGAGTCGGTAGTTATTGTAGCAAAGTACTTGCACTGAAAAAAATATAAACATTCAATTGTCACGGATGTACTTCTATGTGCCTATTCAGGAAACACATTGTCAGCTTACACCCAATACGAATGCGAACTGGCAATGTAAAAGAAAAAAAAAACAACTCAAAGACAGCACGTCCCAAGAACAGCGTAGTGTTACTATACAGCTCCCCCGGACTCCGATAGAATAGACAAAGCAATATCTTTCGGAATAACATCCGCGTAGCTAGCTATAGTAGCTGGCTGGCATGCCCCTGGTCTCGCCATGTGTAGTCTGTCAAAATGGCGTGGCCACCGATCAGCAGCTTGCTGTCAACCAGCTCTCCTGTAATCAATTGGCTTGGATGTTTGCGGGAAACCCAACTGCTGCTGCTGCTGCTGCTGCTGCTAATGGGTTCCCGGTTAGTTCATGGTGCAGGATATGCATGCAGGGTGTATCACAGTATCTCCAGCCATGTTGAGATGCTCTGTTTGGTATTCTGGTCTGATTGGGAGAAATGTGCTGGAAATTAAACTAGATGGCGAGGGATGGAGAAGAAGGGGCCTTAAGAAGGGAGGCTCGCGTACAGAACACATGTTGCATTACAGTGAGATTTGAGGAATTCATATGGTTTTCCAAAAGCAAGATGTTTCGGGCTAGAGAACGAAGCCCGACAGTTGTTGTTTTTACGGACATGTACACCTTATACAATAGGTATACATAAAGCTCATATTAAGTTCAATGTAGTCCGTACAAAGTAAATAATGGAATTAATCAAATCACCTTACCAAAAGCTGCCATATTTGAGCAAATTACCATATACTAGCTCAGTAACACGCTTCACCCTAAGTCAGTGAGCCCGTATATGGCTTGTACTTCTAGGCTATTTGTACAAAGCCACCGATGTATTCAATGTGTTCGTATCAAACTAGAACATGTTGAACACGAGCTGATAACAATAGGGAAGAGAAGAGCAAAAGAATCAGTTAGATGATATGTTTTATAGTCTTGACTTATTATCCGTAATTGGGCTTGTGGTTTAGGGGTATGACGCTCCATTCGCATTGGAGAGGTCCCGGGTTCGATTCCCGGCGAGTCCACTTTTTTGTCAATATTACCATCGACTTAGCTTGTGTTTTTATTTCTCCTTGAAAAGAACCGCAGGGGATTGAATTTATGTCTGGTTGTGAAAAATGGTGGTTATTCTTCAGCTATTCAGCTACCAGTAAACAGTCACGGCAGGGTCAAACGTCGGTTTATGATCACCGTATCTTATTAACCTATGCATGGCTAGACAGATACCGCATGGATATTTTAAGGCTTGGCCTGTGTTTTGTATGTAAATGCTTGTCTATGAAATTTTATATCTTAGATTCCTGTGTATTCAAGAGCATGCGGGCAGTTCTTTGGTAGTCTGATCATTCGAGTATAGCAAGTCACCAACAGAGAACACTTGATTTCAGAGGTTTCTAATATGCAGTGAATTAACCAGTGGATGTTACTTCTGGATATAGAGCGTTACAGCTACTTAACTTAGGGAATGTCCTTGGCTGAACAATCTGATACACAACACCGAATGATATCAAGCGGTGGATACGACAGATCCAGCAGCGGAAGACCCAGCCCGATGTCGATCCTAAATATCAAACATATATCCTCCACATAAAACATATTATTGAAAGGGTTCATCATAAACAGCTCTAGTCCACCCAGAAGCCAACACGCCAGTCCAAAATAACCCGGGGTTTATACTCCGGGCATCATAAAAGCACCATCATTGGCCGGTATCAGCCTCCAAGGTTCATAGGTATCAGCCACGGGAGACAGCCCTAGTATCTACCTAGCAAACACCTATTGCCTATCTAGGTAGATACTAGACACAGGCTACATGGGCACGGTGGAGTCCAAAGCTAAGCCGACGATCTCATCTTTAACCCTACCTCACCTGCATACTCTTAACGCCGGAATTGGCGCATGGCGGGGGTGCAGACTAACAAGCTCGGCGGTGGCTTTTTATCACTTTCCCCTCATCTGTCTCCTTCCCTTCCCTTCTTCCTAAGGACGTCCCCCAATTTGGGCCTCCTCTTCACCCTGCGCCACAAGATCAAATAAGTTTAGATATATCCCGCCAGAGCGCACAGCAGAAACCAATGCCCCGCCTCAACGACCAGACCGTGACATTCCTACGCGCCGGCGCAGAAGCCCGCGATCACATCCGACAAGCATGGGACGGATTCATCAATTTCGCAGCGCGGGACAATGTCCTTGAAGTTGCGTTAGGGTTAATGTAGGCTGTCTCTGTTTTCTCCTTACCCCCGCCATTCAATCCATACCTGCCCATATAAGTACAGGTCACGCGTGCATTTGTTAAGAAAGATGTCCACAATAGCATCGCCCAAGCCTTCACAAAAGTAGTCACCTCCTTCGTCTCAGACATCATCCTCCCAGTTATCTCGCTCCTCCCCTTCCTAAGCCGCAACATGGACGAGAAATTCGCCGTCCTGACGCAGGGGCCGAACTACGCCGACATGAATGGGTATAACACCCTAGAGCAAGCTAGGGAGGATGGGGCGCTCGTGTTGGCATATGGGTATGTATTGGCCTTTCCCAGCTCTCTCACGAGAAAAAAAAAAAAAAAAAAAAAAACACCCAAGAAGAACCCGCAAACCAAGAGAGCTAACCCCCACAGCGTCTTCCTCCAAACGATCCTCAGCTTCTTCGGCGTCAGTCTAACGCTGTACGCCATCGCGCACATCTACACGTGGATCTCCGACGATCGTGTTATCAAACCGACTGTTCGGTGCAGGTACTGTAAGAAGTTCATTAGTGATCAGGTTGGTGCTTCCCCTCCCCGCCTCTCTGTGAGTGAGGCGATATTCTAACCTATATGTTGTTGTATTCGTGCAGGCGACTCGCTGCGTCAACTGCTCTAGTTGGCAGGACGGGAGGGAAGATCGGACTGGGTGGCAATAGGTATATATTTCTCTCTTTTCATGCGTTGGTTTGTATCTTCCTCTGTGAGCCTGTGGTGTTTTTCTGTTCGTGAGGAAGTTATATACTACAATATAAGGATAGTCTGTTTTGGTCCAGGTAAGCTTCTCTTCTTCACCATAATCATCGTCACAGCCCCTATGATTTCGTGTGATACACGAACACAAGGTATATTTTCCAACATCAAGAAATGATTTCATCAGCTTTTCGCCCAGCTCTGGTCTGCACTTCACCACAACTATATATATGTACTTCATGACAGAACTTACCCACACAAAACATCACAACGTCGCACTCTACTATCTAGATAAATACACAAACAACATCCTCCAATAGCCTACCCTACCCGCTCATTCCAAATAATTATATAGTCACTAGGTTTGCATGTAAACCACCTTACCCTACCTATACAACAAGAATACAGGCACCGCGCAAGTATCTCCAAGCACACACTAAAAACAATAAAAAATAAATACATAAAATAAACCTAAATAAACCCTAACACAAGATCTGATCAATTGCCTGGTATAATCACTACATACAAATACTGCCTAGCTACGAACATGTTCCCATTTAGCTTACATTGATATTATATTATGAGAGCTCGCTAGCAAGCGAGTAGGAACTACATCGCACTCATGCGCAGAGTGTCTGTATCTCCCGACGAGACGATACAAATACCGAAATCAGACGCTACGTCCTATGTTATTTATGGAAATGGAAGATCTTGCTGGATGATAATATCTTCCCGTGCTAGATGATGAAGTCTATACGTTAACCCCAGAGGCGAGCGTCTTTGGTACTGGGGAAAGGGAAAGAAGTTGACCGATATCTACGGCTTACAACACAAGATCCCATGAATGAAACCTATTTCGCTGTTACAAGTTACAAGCAAGTTGTTTTAAAAGATACATTTCATAATAGCAACCACTATACTCGGCAGAGCCTATTCACTCTGCCGACGACTGAGACAACTTTTGGATCAAGTAGAGACAGAAAGATAAAAACGCAATATTAGCACATGAGCGTATGATCATATAACAAGCTGAAAAAATAACCTGGAAGCCATCTCCGAGCCAGGTGAGTCAATAGTCCCTGTAAAATACCAAAACAGATACGGAATGAATCGCAACGCATAAAAAAAAGTCTATCGTGACATCGACGAACGCCGCCCGGACCGAGTTACGAAGGAGGAATCTGAAAATATCGCAGAAAAAGCACAAGGTCTACCGATGTGACAATCGTATACAAGCTCATGAACCGCACTGGGCATCAAGATCAGTCTACCAGCGACGAGCGCCGCCAATCGGAGCTGCGTTGGAGGCAGTGAAGCCGCCACCGCGGCCCCGACCGCCGCCACCGCGACCGCGACCTCCCCAGCGGCCGTAGCCGCCGCCGCCACCGCCGCTGTAGCGAACCATCTCGGCGAGACGGGGGTCAATCTGCTGCTTGGCCTCAGTGAGGATAGTGATCAAGTCACGAGCCTGCTTAGAATCTGTGGAGGGAATATGTTAGCAATCAATCACGTTGCCAGTTTGAAGGTTGATACATACTGTCAGTGGTGAAGAACGTGATGGCAGTTCCGTTGGCGCCGGCACGACCAGTTCGACCAATACGGTGAACATAGTCCTCCGAGTTGTTGGGGTAGTCATAGTTCAGAACATGAGTAATGTCACGAACATCTTCAGACACATTTGAGTTAGCAAACAGAGCATTAGTCAAAGATAGCAACGTGGCCTGAGCCCTTTATCAGTCGTGTGAAACGAGATGCACTGCTCCCTGTTTTCTCGGTCTTTTCATATCAAGATCCGGATGCGGTGAGTCCATGGACTGGCAAAAATCGTGGTCCTAGAGCGACCTTGGAATGCAGCTTTGCAAGAAGTTGGAAGAGCAAAAGAGACCCCATCTCTCTACCAACCAAATCCACAAGTAGAGATGGAAAACCAAAACAGAACAAAGTCATAAGTCTGCTACACTGCACTGTGAGTCCAAGGAGCTCCTGGTTTAAGGAACCATTTCAGAAGACCCGATAAAGCCTGGACGAGTCATATACACCAACAGGGGGGGGTTTTTCTTTTGAAAAAATCAAGCATCGTGCCATGATCACACAACCTCAATACGGGTGAGGATGTCTTGGAAGGAAGGGGGACGGGGAGGGGGGGGGAGGGGGAATTGTAATTTTATCATACCGATACCACGGGAAGCCACGTCGGTAGCCACCATGATTGGGCTCTTGCCCGTCTTGAACTCGTTCAAGACCCAATCTCTTTCCTGCTGTTGTTTATCACCGTGGATAGCTGAGTGACACGTTAGCGAGCGTGTTGAGGGGAACAGAAGGTGGGAGAATGGTGAGCTTACAAAGCGCTGGCCAGCCGTCCTGGCGCAGGAAGCGGGTAATTTCGTCAGCAATTCGCTTGGTGCCCGTGAAGATGAGGACCTTGTTGGTCTTCGTCTCCATGATCTTCTCCATGTGCTTAATCATCTTATCACGCTTCTCAAAGTCCGAGACAACTTCGACGATCTGGGTGATACGGTGGTTGGCGGACAGATCCATCGAACCGATGTTGACCTGGATGTAGTCCTGGAGGAAGTCCGACGCAAGCTGGCGAACCTCCTTGGGCCAAGTAGCAGACCACATGCAAGTCTGACGATCGGGACGAATCTGAGAAATGATCTTGCGGATCTGGGGCTCGAAACCCATGTCGAGCATGCGATCGGCCTCGTCGAGAACCAGGTAAGTGACACGGCGGAGGTTGGTGCGGCCAGCCTCCAGCATGTCGATCAAACGGCCGGGAGTGGCGATGCAGACCTCGACGCCACGGGACAGATCGCGGATCTGAGGGCCCTTGGGGACACCACCGTACACACAGGTGTTACGGATGCGAGAGGACTTTCCGAACTTGGTCATCTCAGTCTGGATCTGGACCGCAAGTTCACGGGTAGGGGCGAGGACAAGGACGATGGGGCCATCGCCGGGCGCGAGCAGAGGCTGGGCGTTGATGTGGACGATAGCGGGGAGACAGTAACTCAGAGTCTTTCCGGAACCAGTCTCAGCGATACCGACGACATCGCGACCGGAAAGCGCCATGGGCCAACCCTGAGACTGGATGGCGGTGGGGCGCTCAAAGCCTTGCTGCTTGACTTCGCTCAGCACATACTGAGGGAAGCCAGCCTCATCGAAGGTCTCGACGGGGCGAGGAATGTCCGGTCCTTGCACCACACACTCGTGCTTCTTGCGGAATTCATCCACGTCGCGCTGGCTGCGGTTGGTGACATCGGGGTGTTCCTTGTAGAACGACTTCTCAAACTTGGGGAGCGACTCCAGATCTGTATGTGAATATGTTAGTATGGCGATCGACGATTTGAGTCCAAACAGATCAGATCAACTTACCCCAGTCTTGCTTCTTCAAGCTGGCACCCAGGTTCGACATGCGGTCTCCGCCGGCAGCACCACCACCGCGGCCACCGAAACCACCGCCGCCATAGCCGCCGCCGCCGCCGCCGTAACCACCACCGCCGTAGCTACCACCACCACCGTAGCCACCACCACCGCCTCCGTAGCCACCACCACCACCACCACCATAGCCGCCTCCATTGGAGTAGCCGCCGCTGCCGCCATCCCTGGAGCTGAAAAGGAAGTTAGTAAATTATCCCACATGAGATGAAACGTAGACAAGCAGCAAGATGCCGAGGAGTATTGCGAGTGAGACACAGCGATGGGAGACTGGACCAGGGCGAAGTGCCCGAGGAGTTGGTTGAAGCCAACCCAGTCGCCACCCAACCGACGCCTACATTGCGACCACCCCGACAACGTGTTTCAAAAGACTGCTCGCAAGAGAAAAAAGACATACCGGTAGGAGTCACCACCGCGCGAATAACCGCCACCGTAAGAAGACATGACGATGGAAGATGTGTTTTTCTGATTTCTTTCTGGTTAAGGAAGGAAAGAAAAGTCGGAACTTTATCAACGAGAGAAAACAAAGTACAGGAGTAAAAACACCTGGGTAGTGAAGGAGGGAATATGAGACAGCCTCCAAATGATGATGTGAAGAAAAGAGAGATGAAAGAGATGAAGAAGAGAAGAGTGAAGGGGGGGGAGGATGAGATGAAAAAAGAAGGATGGAAGAAGGAAGAAGAAAGAAAAAAAATCAGACCGACAAAGGAAGGAGAAGAAAAAAAAAAAAAAAAAAAAAAAGAGCCGGCGGATGGGGAGGAGGCGACACTTGACCCGATCGGGCTCTAGTGCAGGGGGGCAAAAATCAAGGGAAATCCGCCGTGACCGACTCTTTTGTTTGCCTAATCAACAGGTTCTTTCACGGTTGATAATGGTAGAAAGGATGAGACTGTTACGCAGAGATGTGAAACGACATGGATTTCCTATCTTTGGGATGTTGTTCTATATATGTAATATGTCTTTTCTGCTAGAGGAACAGTGTAGAACCTCCTCGATGCTTGTTTACACTGGGTCGCCACCCAGCGCCATGTCCCAGAATTTAACCTCTAATGCTGTCGCCCGAATGAAAATCTGGATCAACTCTTCCATTCGACTGGGCGAAACGTTGCGCATGTGGGTCTCTAGCAGTTCTACCATCGGATACGAGATCAGTTCCATCGTACTCTGTACCGCGTGTATAGCTACCAAAAGGAGTGTAGGGAAAAAGAAGATACGTACCGGATCCTAGCCGGACTGCCTTGGTGTAATCATCGGCGACGTAATTCTCGATCCATTGCCAGTATCGGTTGCCCTCTCGGAGGGTCTCTTGATCTGCGTGGAGTCGTCGGGCGATGGCTCCATAACCGATCAAACATGGTGCCAACGCCATCTGGAGCGCAAGCCAGTCCTCCGACTGGCCGACGTCAAGAATGTATCGGCTGTATGCCGTGCATGCTGCATCCAGAATGGGTTTTGTTAGAGATCATGGCAGCTTGTCCGGCTAGGGGGAGACATTATCACGCACCAAGATGTTCCGGAGTCCGCTCCATCTCCTCCTTAGTTAGCCCGAAAGATGCGCAGTAATCGAGATGCAGCGCGGTCTCGCGTTCAATGTGTAGAACGATTTGCGATGACTGCGATAGTACAAGCCGGATTAGTTGCTGCGGACAGATATGATGGGCCCCAGTATAGAGACCTACCGCAGAGATAGACGCCATGGTTTTGGCCTTGTACGCCGCGAGTGCATTGCTTCTCGCAAAGTGAACCTGATATGGCCGTGTCAGCAAACAGCTAGTTATAACCTTGACGACTATGCAACGAACCAGATAGAGATAATCCTGGACTAGATACTGCTTAAAGTTCTCGACAGGAAGTGTGCCGTTGGCCATGCTGGAGACAAACCCATGTTTTGTGAATTTCTCCCATACTGACTGCACATCAGAGCGACCCAACGCATACTCCAAGAAGCGGCCACTGCAAGGACCAAGTCAATAACCAAAGTCACAGCGCACGTAAAGTTCAAAATTGGGAAAGACGTACGGCGCAAACGGCAACGTGTACACGGAATGGAAGTGGTTTATCGGCCCACTGCCTTTCCCCAGATCAAAGCTGGTCCTGATACCAGCCTCAACGAAGCGCACAGCAGCGTGGACAGCTTGCTTGATGCTCTGTCCACGGGCTAAATTGGCAGAAATGGCAGACGCAAGGGAGCAGCCCGTGCCATGCGTGTTCTTCGAGATCAGGAAGCCAGTCTCAAACAACGTGACGTCCGTTCCATCGTACAAGACGTCAATTACTGTCGTGGCGTCCTTTGGATCATGTGGTGTCTCGTGGTCCTTTGTCAGTGGCAGGTGCCCTCCCTTGAGCAAGACTCCTTTGGGGCCCAAGGCGCAAATTTGCTTCGCGAGACTGACGACATCGGCGAGGTTTTTCGGCTCCGGCGTGCTCACGCCGGCATCTTTGAGTAATAGTAGCGCTTCGGGGATATTGGGGGTTAAGATCGTGGTGAACGGTAATAGTTTCGTCCGTAGACCCTGAATTGCAGGCCTTGGTAATAACTCCGATCCGCTTGTAGACACCATTACCTATCGATGGTCTAATCAGAAACTCTACTACCACTTAGAGAGAATAAGACGGGGTAAGCTACCGGATCTAGAACCACCTGAGGAACATGGTGCGAGGCCAATACATCGGCGATGACGTCGATTGTCTCCGCAGACGAGAGCATGCCTTTATCCCGATCAGCATTTAAAAAACAATCAATTTGGAAGGATTTAATATACCCAACTTGACAACGTCCGCCCCAACATCATCTAACCCGGCAAGGATCTGCTTCTTCACAAAGTTGGCGGGGACCACAAACACGTCCTGCACCCCCAGAGTGTTCTGGGCCGTCAGACCCGTTGTCGCGGTGAGAGCGTAGCAGCCATGCACCGCCAGAACCCTCTGGTCCGCTTCTAGGCCGCTGGATCCAGACGGATTGAATTAGTTTCGACCACCCGATAAGCCTAGGACCGGGAGAGGGGGTGATGAACATACGCGCCGCCCGAACTGTCGGACCCTGCGATGACCAGAACCCGCGGAACGGACATGATGATGAAGTCGCTGGTTGGTACGATTGGGAACCCAACGAAGGACGACAGTCGAAGGAGCAGGAATTGGAGGCCTGATCAACCTTTTCCTCAAGTATCTAGAAAGAATGACTGCTATTGGTGCTCGTTGTACCTGGGAGGAGAAATCGTGGAAAGCGGAAGTTCCTTCAATCAGCTGGGTGGGGGTGGGGCTTTGGTTGCTTTCGCCTTGGCCGATAAGATAACATGGTCGATTGTAGGAACATCGAGCTTAATTTATCACCTATAAAAGAACATAGGAAGAAGCAGTGACGTATACGATAGTATCATTCCACACTGAAGATTATTCAAAACACACTCCGCTATCCATAACAACCAACAAGAAAGAAAAAAAAAACAATGCCCTAATGATCCTGGTATTTACAAATGTCATCCCATAACTTGTCCAAGAGTATCATGGCAGCATGAAGCGGAACAAGTTGTCCATCTCGACCCATTGCCGTCCACATTTCCTCAAGTACGCATCAACAACGCCCTTGATGGTCCCAAACCGTGTGCGGTTGAATTCAACCAGCGCTGCCACGCTGTCTTTCTTCTCCCCAGCGGGCTCCTTCTGGACGGCGGACCGGGCCTTATCCACATCCCAAAGCCCGGCAAAATATAGCAGCTGGTTGTAGATTTGCTTCTCGGTGTACTCGTAGTTCATCCGCCCCAGACAGCCTTCCGCATGTCCCCGGGGACCGAGGCATCGGTGTCCGTACACACTGATCTGCCTTGTTCGGTTGCCGCAGGCTGAATCGTCACATACAACCCACCCATCGTAGTATTTGGATGTCTGCGCGCGGATCTGGTTCTCTAGCTGTGCGATAATTGTCAAAACCGAGAACTGTTTCCGACAAGCCGAATTAGAGCAGATGATTCCATGGGCGTTGCACATCTCTGTAGACACGGCCAATCCTTCAAAGGTTGACTTCTCCTTGCAAGAACGGCAGGTTAACGCGAGCCGTGCTACGTTCTCGAAACGTACAGAGTCCGGAATCTGCGACTCTAGCGGGAAGATTTCGGAGTTTTGCTGGTTGCTTCCACTGGACGTGTTGATCTGGTACTTGCGCACATCCAGACCCAGGCACTCGGCCAGCCGAACCGCGTCCGTCCCGGGGATGGGAGCGCATAGACGCTCAATGGGAGGGAAGATCTGCTTCAGAAGGTAAAACTCAACGTCGGGTTTCAAGCCTGAGTCGGTCTTCATCACGTCTTGAAGCGTGTATGAACGCTTCGCAGGGGGAAGCGACGCTGTCTCCGAATCGCCATTGGTGACAACGTAAGATATGACATCGTTGGGCCTGACCATTTTACCGCGAGCAAGCTCACGGAGCGCAACTTGTGCTGGAGGCATGGATTCCTTATTAGGGTATTCCGAAGGACGTTTGGAAAGTTTCTAAGCCGGCCATTAGTATATTACCAGGCGATCAATTACAAGGATTCACTTACCGTGTAAATCACGTATTTTTGCACGGGGATGGTGTATTCCCGCATCTTGTCCGCCAACTCGCGCAGATAGTCGTGAACGCGGTTGAGGACGAGCTCCGGGTCCTCTCCGGAGAGAATCTCGTTCAAGAGCTTCTGAGAGACCTCCTTCGACAGAGCACAGTACTCACGTCGCTTCATATCCAAACCCTTGACTTCCAACTTGTCCACATACTTGCCATCGATCTCAGACATGTTAACAGCGGCGTACTTTTTCTTAGCATGCAGTAGAAGGCGGCGGAAGATATTATCAATATCAATTTCCAAGAGGCGGTACTTTTCGTTGACGGTTTTCTTGAAGTCCTCTCCGACCTTGAGTGCTTCGCTGATGGTGTCCATGTTCGTATTGATCATGACGGAGTCGGTATCACCATATATGACTCTTAGCTGCTGCGACTCTGCCAATTCCTTAGTGCTGCGAAGAATCTCACGACCCTTGAACGTGGTGAGCATCGCCAACGGACGCGCATAGAAACGACTCTGAGTATATCCCAAACAGCCGTACATAGAGTTTGCAGTCAGCTTGAAAGCCAATTGCTTCGTGTCCCACAGGGCTAGTTCCTCGGGTGTCGCCCGCTTGTCTTTCATTAGCTTCTTCACCTCACGTCGACGGCCGACAAGGGTTGCAATAATCTTGGGCAGGATCCCCTTGTCTTGGTCTGAAGAAGGCACCTCGGGTACTTTCTCTTCAATGTCGTTTTGGGCCTGGAAGCATGAATAATCATTAGCACACATGGACACCAACAATACCCGCAGAAGATCTCACCGTTGCAGACCGCTCAACCGTGGTGAAGCAGATGTTGTACTCCTGAATGATACTCGGGTACAGACTGTTAAAGTCCATCACCAAGACGAACTTGTCATAAAGGCCCCTTTCGGGTTCGAAGACAAGACCACCTTTGTACTTGTCCTTTTTTTTCTTATCCGCCGAGTCATCATCATCACCGCCATCCAGTGTCTTTTCTTCCGCCTTTTGCAACTTTGAAGAATACTTGTCAGGACAGATGTACTTGTTGCGATGAAACTCGTGGAGCAGAATGTATTCATTACGCTCGGCGCGAGTACCACTCAAAGTCCGTGCCCAAGAGTTGCCGGCAATGTTGGTCAGCACTTTTGTGAGAGACAACATCTGAAGTTTCAAGACCAGCGCAGCGATGAAATAGGTGTCTGTGTCACAGTGGTTGACGAAATTCATGAGCCCATCTTTTGTGGTGGCCCATGACTTCAATGCCGCTTCTGTGTCCAGTTCCTGGCGTGCGTTGCCCTGTCCGAGGTAGAGATCACACATTTCGGTCAAACTCCACGATTGACACTTCGGCATAAGAGACTGATATTATCTTAGCATGGCCCAGCCGTATTCCAGAGTTGAGGGACTTACCTTGCCCATGTCGTTAGCCACGTCACACATCAACCTCCCAGCGATGAGATGTCTCTCAGTGAAGAAGCCACCACCCTTGTTGAAATTCTTGGGCCAATCTCCGCGCTTTAAGCGCCCGAGACGATGCCAGCCAGGTGTCTTTTTCTCCTTCAGTCGGCTAAGAAGGATGCTGAGATCGACTTCTTGCAGCTGATGGCCCATCAATACGTCAGGGTCCATCCTCTCGAACAGTGCAAGGAATTTACTAAGCAAGAATTGCTCCGTCTTTTCCAGCATGTATGTGCCGCGTTGCTTTCGTGTCTCCGCCTCGAAATTAATCGGATATGACGACCCAATTGGACGCATTACCGTGAAGGTCTTGCAAGGAAGATTCTCGGGGGGTGTTGGGTCTGTTAGGGAGACATTTTCGTACACACGAGCGCTCGCCACGATGATCTCCTGTTTGTTTTCCTTCACGTTCATTTGCGTCTTGAATGAAAGACTCATCAATGTCAGAGGCGGGGCGCCCAGATCCTCGGAATCTGATACAGGGGCGATGAGAGCTGGTTTAGAGACCTGACATTCGAATTTGCACCAGGACGCATTGTTCACAGCTGAGAAATCAGCTTCATCGATCTTAAGCCAGCATGGGCCCATGAGATCCTTCCAGAGAACAAATTGCTCAAACAGCGACGTATTAGTGCCGAAAACGCGTGAAAAGGTCTCCCCCTGAGTATCCATAGGTAGCGGTGGCTTATCGTAGGGGTAAAGTAGCTTGAGGTACTCCGATTCTTTGGGAACACCGGGCAGCTCGAATGCATATTTGCGAGTGCATGGCTTGATCTTATGCATACCGACCTTGAGCCTCGACATCATGTCATCAACTTCGCCGTAGACATCTTCCATATCGACTTCCTCATCTGTTTCTCGGCCGTGCTTATGCCTCTGTTCTCGAGGAAGGAAGTAAAGTTTTCGGAGGATATTATCGACCTTGACGAACGCGCTCGTATAGGTGCCGTTTTGTTTATTCTTCACCTTTCCAAACAAACATAGACTCCCATGGACTTCGGTAAAATCCATCCAGAACATACGGAGGCTTCCATCTTCCTCGACAACGTCCTGTGCGCGAAGTTTGCCGAAGCCCTTGGCTTCTGATGCTGGGCTACTGACGACATTGAGCTTGTTCCTCACGTCGTTCCAGGACGCATCAACAACTTCCGTTGAAGGCTTGACGGGGGAGGATCCCATGGGGGTGGGTTTGATTTCTTTCTTGATCTGGGGGACAGGGCGGCTACCGGACATGTTGACGCTTGTGGTCTTAGCCTCTTGTTGTCCAGTAACTTCAGCGATTTCCATCCAGTCATTATCATCTTCCTCCGGCTCTTCAACCTTGACAGGAACGGTAATCTTCCTCTCCACGGCTTTGCTGATCGGCGAAGATGGCATGGGATCGCTCATTGGGACATCGTCGTCGTCTGCGATCGGGAGTGGCGCGTCTTCGTTGTCCATACTAAACTCCTGTTCTTCCTCTTGGCCAACGGGCGATGCTGGCTCGATGTTTTCATTCTTCCTATCCTGATTTTGTTCGCGTGTCTTATGAGACAAGGGAGGGGAAAGGATGCGGACTTTTCGGCGCGTTTCCGATTTCACTATATTTTTCGTTGGGGGCGGCTGTTTCGAGGCGACGTTGGTATCGACCTCGCCGAGGAGATCAGCCATGAAGGCATCGTCTTCTGCAGTGGCAGTCGGCTGGAGAAGTTGTCAGCGATTTCGACGCATCCGGTTGATTCTCGTCTTGCAGGGGCGCAGGCAACTCACCTTAGGCTTTGGGGCCGTCGCGGTACTACCTTTGTTGAAGTATTTGGAAATCCCATTGTTGATTTTTTCCTGCCTTTGCTGTTCTTCCTCTCGCTTTCTCTTCGCAGCTTTGCCTCGGGCGGGCAATCCGTCGTCATCGCTATCGCTGTCGTAGTATTCGGCCGTCTGTTCGTTCCACACCTCGCGACCGTCGTCGGCGTAACCTGCACCATTATCGTCGACAACAAAATCATCCTCATCAAGTCGGCTCCGGATAACTTTCTTATATCCTTCGTCATCAACCTCCTCATAGATATCCCCTTGATCTTCGACCTCGTACGTCGAAAGACGCTTCTTCCCTGCAGCGCGCAGAGCGCGCAACTCTGCTAATTTTGCTCGTGAAGAAGCCATGGTGTCTTGTCTTCTTTCTCTCTGCTTTTTTTTTTTTTATCCCAGAGAATCGACACCCATGGATAACTCTTTTTGCGACAGTGGACTGTGATCAAATCACGAAAACATCCCTGGGATTGAATCGGGCAAAGGGTGGGTTTGGAGCCGTTTCCAAGGCGGGTTGTGTCGCGGAGGAGAATGGACGCGTAGCGGGACGCGATCTGAACGCGCTCCCGCTAACTAATTTTAATTGATTTCACCGCCGCCATTCTGATCAGCCCCACTCGTTGGCATACACTTTGGCCGCCCAATGAATGGTAATGTCAATTATATTGATAAGTGCCAGTTATTTGCAGATGATCAATTGATTAAGATTACAAATTCTCCCTACAACTGTGCATTGTCTTGGTGGGCAGTGCCCAGGCCATGATTGTTGTATTTGTAACACCCACCTCACTTTCCATTACTCTAGTTGATCAATATCAGTCGAAAATTTCATCATCAGAGTCCGCATCACTATACTCCTCTAAAAATTGTCAGCATAAGTCAGCCTGTGAAGAAAAATCGCAGTGCCCCCACCCTGAGCCAATCCGAAGTCAAATGTCCCATCCAAACGGGTTTTCAAAATCTCGCGGATCCGATTTTGCGCTCCCTCGGTGATATCTGTGTCGGTAGTCGAGTTCAGGATGGACAAACTGAAACCTTTATTGCCAGGCTTGAGTGAGGCGATGAAGTCTATGATGCCCTGTGTCGTGAATTCGCTGAGAGCGTGAATAACCAAGCTCTGGAGTTCTCCTAGACCTCGGAATGCATCCCACACCTCGTCGTTGAAAAAGTCACCACTCACCCATAATCTCTCCAAGTGCGGAAGGTATGGTGTGAGTGTGATGAGGTGGTCAGGTGTAAAGCAGTCCGATATATCCTTGAGTTCCAGTTCACGGAGCTCATTCAGCTGGCCGATTGCCTGGACGAGTAGCTCGTTATCTTCGGGGGACTCGCTACTCTCTCCACGAAGATATAGGTTTTGCAGAGAGGGTTGACTGGCCAGGGCTTGGTGAAAGCCCTGCGCCCCAGCCATTGTATAGCCGGCCAATGAAAGGGTGGATAGACGTAAATTTTCATCGGTTAAAACATGGGATAGCAAAGCCGCATCGTCGACAAACCTTCTGAGTTCGAGGCGTCTCAATGCTTTGCAACCACGGATCCATTCAGCGACTCGCATGATGACGGTATAGAAACCTTCGTCCCGAACGGCCGGTCTTGAGTCCGTCAATACTAGAACTCTCAGTGCGGGCGGCGTTGCTAGCGACGGCAATGCTGCGATTGCTTCAAGGGGGAGGCTGGTTAACTTCAGTTCTGTCAAAGATTCTAAATGGTTGTTCAGGGCCTTAATTGAACGCGGCCCCAGCTGCGAGTAACTAAGCACCTCAAAATACTGTAGGGTATTGGATGCTAGCTCATTTAAAAATTCCTGAGACTCTGACTCCGCATTTCCGGACGACTCATTTTTCCTGCACGAATTGTAAGAAAATGGATTAGAGTATATTCAGCCTGGAGTTATACCATGCATATATTGTGAGTTGCTTGAAATCCGGGCAGTGGCTACGAATCAGGTTGCCAGCATGTTGTTTAAGAGCAGCCCCAGACCAGATGGTCATAGCTTGTAGCAGCGGTAGGTCTTCCAGCCATGAGGATAGCACCGACGGGGGTACTGTAAACAAGTCAGACCAAACTATACCAGCGAAGCCGAAAAGGTGGCTTACTGTTGCAAGACATCTCCCGTAAGGAATTGGTTTTCCTGACGATTGCTGATATCCACAGTCAGTAGGTAGGAAGCATCTCCGACATGGAGGTACTGACCAGAGCCGAATTTAATCACCAGCCGCTCATTTTCAGCAAGAGTTCTGGAAGAGCGAAGCCGCTTACTTCCTTTCGACTCGTAGTCGATTGACGCCAAGTCAATGAGCTCTTCCGTGAAGAAGTTCCTAGATTTCATTAAAAAGGGTACCGGTATTGGGAGTTCATCAAGCTGATAGCTTACTCCTTGATTCTTCCCTTGAACATCGCATTGCCCAGGAGATACGATAGATCATCTAGGTCTAGATAACGGATATAGCTGTGATAAGGCAGATAGGTCTGATCGATGGTAGACAATAAGATGGAGCGCCACATGAGCGCCCACTTTTGAATGACCGCCTCCTGTTCTCTCCAGATAGACATCCATGTGGGAGCTGACCGGCGAGTTTTGAACTGCTCATCCTCGGTACCGCCGCCCTTCACTGGGGAAGTATTATGCAATCTGCATGCTTTGTTATCAACAGCTGATTACCAGCCGTATGCCCTGAGCATGGTGGGTTCATACTTATACAGGACGGCCAGGGCATGTTCAGTGAAGCATCGTGAGGAAACAGCACATTGGTACAAGCTATTATAGTCTTTCTCGTCCCCAAGGATATCCAGGATGATGTAAATGACGTCACCTGGTAACGGAAAGGTCATATTGGCTGGTAAAGGTCACACATTCCAAGATGGGGTCAAATCAATGGATTCAACACGTCTCATCGATATATGGAGGGAGGCAAGGATGAAGTCTGTTTTGATACTTGAGGCGTCGGCCAGTGACGTTGCAGCATGGAGCAACTATTGGAGGACGGGTGACACGGGCCTGGTTATGTAAGCCGAGAGCGTGTTTGCCTTGGCGACGCATGGAAAGATGTAGGACGAACTGATCGAAACACCACACATCCAATATGAATGGCAATAGAGTGTTGTATGCTGACATTGAGTGTTCTTGATTATTGTATAATCTGAGATTGATCTTTGATCCGCTATTAGAAGACTATGACTTCACTGTCGTTTTCACTGGCCCCAGAGGCCTTGGTCCGCCTGCACAACGCTTTGATATGCCTTTCGAAATTCAGCCATCATGTGTCAATTGAAGCGGAATACGATCTGGTAGAGCTAAGGATCAAGTACCTTGATGTATCAACTACGCTAACAATGTTGTAGCTCCGTCTGAGTGCACTCAACCTGACCAAGACCGCGTATGCCGGATTTGCTTTGGACGCGGACGAGTTCTTTCAAACCTACATCTTTGGAGTAAACCACAGCAATGCGTCCACAAGGCTGCGTGCGGATAAATTCAGCTGCCAGATTGACGTAAAGGTAGAGTCTACTGACCGCAAAGTGCAGGCTTTCCGTAAGCTGACCTGAAACAGACTCTTTTATCAGTGTTCAAAGGAAGGACTAGTGGACGCGACAAGGACACCGCAGTCGAACGCTGCGAGGTCGAGCTCCACGAAGATGTCGACGAGACAGAATGCAGACTTGTCATCCGAATGATCTGTGGGCTTGGTAAGCAGGTTCTCCCAGCCCACGGGCTCTATGTAGTACAAGATCTTAACAGCATTGATCTAGGCGTGATCAGGTCATACAAGCTCACCTATGAGCCAACTACTGTTCAACACGCTACCTTTGATAGATCGAATACCACAAATCAGTGGTGTATTGAACCCAAGTTCCTGAAAGAGATAACCGATCATTTTAGTCTCTCAGCAGAGCAGCTGGACATATTTTCTGCCCATGATAAGGCCATCTTTACGAGCTATACCACGAAGATTACGGATGGTAAAGGTAAGGTACTTGGAATCCGTGGTTTATACTGCCATGCTAACCGTTGCACGTGTAGAAATATTGAAACAGCCAGTGCACACCTCTGTGGCAATTGAGAAGAAAGATTTCGAGCATTTCCTGGTCGAGGATAGTCTCCACGTTGTCATCCACCTAAAGGATTTCAAAGCGGTCATCGCACATGCCGAGGCGGCAGGTGTGATGATCACCGCTCGATATACCAACCCATGTCGGCCCTTGCAATTCGCATACGATTTTGCAGGGGTGAAGACTGAGTTCACTTTGATGACAACAGGCGAGTCAGACGCTAGCAACGTTTCTAGTTCTTCTCGAGCGGCCGTACCACAGCTGTCTGCTAGACAAACACCCGCCCCTGTAAATGTGAGCCAAACCAACACTGCTCCAATTACGAGGCAGATGCCTCCTCCACGCAGCCGTTCTGTACGCCCGCTCACGGGAAACTCTGCTCGTGGTACGGCGGAACCAAGCACTCAAAGCCAGCGGCCTCCAGCTTCGATCAACTTCGATAGTTTGTTTGTGCCGGCGGACGATGACAGGCAGTGGGATGTGTCGAACGAAGATGAGAGGGATGAAACTGAGGATATGCTTGGTTGGGATGCAACCACTGACCAGGTTTGGACTCCACAACTGCCTATCGTGAGCCAGTCTAATTTGCGTTCAGGAAACTTTCAGCGCAAGTATGGGACCGAGGTTACGGGACATCGAACCCAGTATGCCACTCCAGGAGGAACAAGCGGTTGATCAAGAGGAAGCAACGGGAATTCCTCCAACGCAGCGCATGTCACAGGTGAGCCGTCTTCATCTGTATGTCGAAGAAAGCTAACACTCCTAGCTTCACGGCCTGGGTCTTTTCGACTGAGCCACTGGTAGACTCCAGTGGGCCATTGAACCTAGCCATTGTTCGAGTTGACATGACTCGCCCAGAGAGTGTGCGCACTGAACATGGAACCACACAATCAAGAGACGATAACCCAGCTGGTAGCACAACCCGCACCAACCCCAACCACACGAGCACCGCCTTCAATCGGCAAAGGAATCCGACTAACCCTGCCCTGCACATTTCCCCGAGCATCAACATCCGGTCCACAATTACCATGCTCTCCCCACCCAAAAGCAATTACAGTCTGGTCGTCAACAAGAGCCAGAGCATGCTCACTCCCAGCGACCAATTCACTTGCTTTCGGGAGATCCCCAGGTGGGAGCTGGCCGCGATCATTGCGGCCCCATGCCACAACAGAATCATCTCGCCGATGTATATTAACACCATGCCAACTAGCAGATAAACCTCGATAGCCGCCCACCAACGACGAAGGCGCAGGCGCACCAGACCGAATCCCCCACTTATCATCGCACGAGCCCAGCACCGAAAA